TGTCTCCGTAGACTATAATGTCTGCAAAGCAAGGGATCTATTCTGTATTCAAGCTCTTAGAAGAGTGCCAAATTGATTAAATAAATGAGTGAGAATATTAGAAAGCAACATAATCTTTGCTGATTCCCCATGGTAGATGGAGGAGGTGATTACACCTCCCATCAACAACTTGAAATGTCCCTTTAGATATTTCTGTTTTCCAAAGAGTCTTCTCTATACAGCCCCTCAGGGAGACTCAACCAAGTTTTTAATTTCTCTCTCTCCCAAGACAATGCCCAACAGCACAGTTTCCTCTCTCTCTCCAGGGGGATCTCATTCTTTTCATACAGAGCTTTTTGATATCCATCCATACCTACTCCAGACATCTTAATGTTCAGCAAAAGGAAGGGCCATCGAGTACATGTGACTTAGAAGGCAGAGTAAAGACCAAGTTTAATTATTGACCGTCCACTTGGATTTCCTTTCTCCTCTCTCACCTCTTATCTTTCACCCCAATCTTCTTATCAACCTATTATGGGGAGATACAACACCCTTCCCAAGAAGTATTCTTGCATCAGCTGCTATAAGATTACACTCATTATTTTTCATATGGTCAAATAACTGTGTAAAAGGTAAGAGCAATAGTGATTTATAGTAACTTAATTTCGAGCAGCATGTGGAATGAAGGGCTGACAAGCTCTCAGTATGGGTGCAGGGGACAAAGCTGTGTGCCAGGTCGGCTTTCTCTTCAGAGATAGAGTTGAACTTGAGCTTTAGACTTTAAACCAAGGACTCAAAGTCACGATGAGTGTGAGGATACTATGCAGTCAGAGACTGGTGAGTAATTTCTGAAAAAGACTCTAAAAGTTAACAAGCAGAGTAATGAGAGAATTTGCCAGTATAAATGCTGCCCATAATACACAGACAGAGAGAACTGATAGGGCTGGAAGCAGTTGCAAAAAATCTAAAGTTTGTTTCAGGCTATGGATGTTATTTCAGCAGACTGTTTTCGGAAACAAGACTGAAAAGAGCTGATCATCCGCAGGGGTGTATACTCTTCAGGATCCATGGAATTCAGAAGTCCAGGTGATTCATAATTGTCCTCATCATTTGGACATGTAAACCAGTATCTTAGGCAATAAGTCTTTGTATACTGCTGTCATTGTGTTAATATTAATTAATTGTCACATGTATAAATGTAAGTAACTTTGGTGGTGAAGCATCTTTAGTTAGTAAAAGTATCTTTATCAGATGACGATCGGTAGAATACATGCTACGTGAAGGTGGGGAAGTAGTTTTGTTTTCTTTACTGCTGTATCTGTAATTACTGCTACAGTAATGCCCAGCACATAATAGATAGTAAATATTCATTCAATTAATGAAAGAATCTTGTAAAGTCATTGCCATTGATTTAAAGTCCAATATATACCTCTTAGTGTTATAGATGATGTTAGTGGAAATGGTGTCAAGACTGTATAGCATGACTTCACCTCAGGGAATCTCCCTTCGTCATCTTAAGGGTTCAGTCTAAAGGCTGTTGGAAGATGATTGTTATAAGACAGTGAATTATGGTTGAAAAATCTCTCCAGAAACTTGTTAAGAGCTCTCTCAGTGTGTTCTCCAAAAACCGAGAGCTCACAAAAATGTCATCTCATCTGGTCCAGTTCACCTGAGGACAGACGTTTATCTTTTGTTTAGAGAGAAAAATAAGGGCAAGTTTGAACTTTTACCTGAACCTGGTACCCTGGAACTCAGCGCCCATCACCTGGCTGTGTACTAGAAATGGGGAGTGGGTATGGTGTGGAGGATTAGGCCCGGAGCCAGGACCTCACGATTCTGGGGTGGTTTTCACCTTTTCCTAACTCCATGGCTTTGGGTAGATGCTGTCTTAACCACATGATACTCTAGTTCCTCTATTTGTAAACTATCACTTACCCCAAGGAAGTTGTGATAGAATTCTTACCTGTGTACTTTATGGGGCTCTTTGGAAATTGAAAATGAGATATGTCTGAAATGCTTTGCTAGTTGAACAGTTTTTCACAAATCAAAGTGGAGATTCTGAATACAGGTTAGGAAGAAATCAAACAGAAAGAGAATGTACAAAGCTATCCTGATTGTACAAAAATAGTATTGATTAATGAAACTATGAATGTCCAAAGACCTTGCAAAAAAAGAATAAGAAGAAACAATTTTCAATGTCCTAAAACCATGGGCAGCCGCATCTCCAACCGAGAAACCACATAAAAGAAGTCAGTTTCTGATGAATCAGCAAAGACACAGGATATCGATAATCAAAACAATGCAAGCAATGCCATATTTTAAATTTGATCCAGGTTTGATATAACCATACACAAGAGTGGCTTTATTGGAGTAAAACATATAGGTTCTTACACATGAAACCTAGATGTTAGGAGCTATTTAATGTTGAGCTTTCAGCTACATTTCCCAAGGACTCATCAGAGCCATAATGTAGGGAATGCAATAATTCTTCTGAGGCATTGCAGCTGCTGAAATGCAGACAGATGGAATTTCTGCACTCTCTACTATAATGCAGAAACAGTCTCACGATAGGATAAACACTTATTCCTTGAAAATTTTCCCTTAACCCTAGAGAGAGGTTATTGTAGAGACTGACCGGTAAAATCTTTAATGTTTTGGTTTTTCATTTTATATCTGGTTTCCTGTATACCCTTTAGGAGTCTCTGTCTGTAGCTACAGGAGTACAGTCCTGCGCTGAATCCAAGACTATACAAAACATAAGCGTGTTTCATGTCTTGGCAGTTGAAATCCATAGATGCCATTTGTATTGATACAGAAATCATGGGATATAATGGAAAACCAGACTTTCATTGTTGATATTGTGAAGGTTACACATGAATTAGCATCAGAAGAAACATACCAAATTGACTAGTACTTAATGTTCAGCAAATCGAAACTGATTCCTTGATAGTGTTGGAAAATAATCCATCAATTGCATTTTTTCTTTTGCCTCGTGGCAATATATTGTGCTCCATTGAGATGGAGGTGACTTTTTCCCATTAATTAAGAATCTCCTGAGTGCCAGCCACTCTGCTGGGGAACACAGGATATATGAGTGGCATGGACCTTACTGCCTGGAATGTTCAGTCTGAACTTTTCTGCATTTCAGCTTCTGAGTTAAATGTTCCATATTTCCTGGTTCCCTTTAGTTAGACAACAAGGTTCATCTCATCAAGGAACATGGTTCAGGGCAGGTGGTGACAGCGACCAGGCAGGAGACCACAAGGCTGATCCCACTAACTTTTGTGGCAGGGAGACAGAGAGTTACAGAAACAAGTTTTGGGAGGGTTATATTTATTTACCGTTACTCTGAATTGGGAACTCATGAAAAAAGTTAGTTGTTTTCTTTTTCTGATTATAAAAGTAAGACATGATCGTTGTAAGAACATTTGTAAAATACAGAGTAAAATACAATGAAGAAAATAAAAATTATTTTCAATCCTAATACCAGGGATAATCATAGTAACCTTAGATATACTTCTTTCTAGGCCAGATTGTATTATGCTTTTTCAGAACCAAATGCTGTTTTTAAATTTTTTTATTTTTTAAACTTTAAAAATATTTTATTTATTTATTTTTGGCTGGGCTGGGTCTTTGTTGCTGTGCACGGGCTTTCTCTAGTTGAGTTAAGTGGGGACTACTCTTCGTTGAGGTGCGCAGGCTTCTCACTGCCGAGGCTTCTCTTGTTGCGTAGCACAGGCTCTAGGCGCGTGCACTTCAGTAGTTGTGGCATGGGGCTCAGTAGTTGTGGTGCACGGTCTTAGTTGCTCTGCGGCATGTGGGATCTTCCCGGACCAGGGATCAAACCCGCGTCACCTGCGTTGGCAGGCAGATTCTTAACCATTGCTCCACCAGGGAAGTCCCCCAAATGGTGTTTTTACACTTATATTATCTTGAACTTTGGCCCAGGACATTACTTTTTACAATATAATTTTCAATGGCTGTAACAGTATTCCTTATTATGGAGCTATCAAAATTTATTTAACCAGTCTCCTATTATTGCATAGTTGTTATTTCATAGTTTCCTTGTGATAAACCATGATGGTATGAATATCCTTAAATATTAAATTTTGCACTTATTCATAATCATTTCCTTTGTATGAAGACCAGAAATAAGATTTCTGGGTCAAAGGTTTACACATTTAAAAAGCATTTGATGCATATTACCACATATTGAAGGGTATTTTAAAACCCATTTTGTTGAATTGACATCCTTTCATTAATGGTTTCCCTTAGAAAAATCTTTCTAGCTTCTTCTCTTACATTCTGTGTCTGATGTAATTTTGAAACAATTGAATATTTGTTGAATTTTGAGACGAAAAAGAACACCGTAATACTTAAAGCAAAGAATACTAAAATGCAGACTTGTTAAGGAAAAGAATGAAAATATTATTAGCTAATGTTGTTTCACATTCCTTATGCCAAAATAGACCTTGACATTTTTAACTGGCATTTTTATTAAGACAAGTAAATAAATATATTTCAAATACAAGGCATGGGGTCTCTAAGCCTGTGTTCAAGCGTGTATCAACTATTCGTAACTGTAGCTTTCTCTGCAGGACATTGAGTAGCACTGTAGAAGGAGAGGGTTTGTTTTTTTTAATGTTTGTTCAATAAATAATATTTCACTTTGAAATAATTTTCTGTTATTAAGAAAAATACTCCCATCTGGTATTTTTTTTCCCCACACAAGTTGTGCAATTGATGAGGTTGCTCTCTTGTGCTGTGAAAGCCCACTGGTGAATTTCCTTTTGCTTTTCTCAGGCAAACACCCTTTGTAGTCTTTCCAGGTAATTTTACAATTAATGTTCTAGAAGGCCAGAGAAAAATTGGTGATAATGAAACTGAGGGAATTGGGAAGCACCTCTGCTGAATAGCAAGGAAAGGTTTTCTTTCTGTCCTTTATTTCTCCTAATTTTAAAAAGGGAAAAAAAACACACCTCTTATTTATTTTGACATTGTTTTTCTGCCCTTTTTTTCAGTGATCTGCGGAGGGGGCGAGAGCTTTCTGTGTGCCAGTGGCATCTGTGTCCCCAGGAAACTGCTATGTAATGGCTACAACGACTGTGGCGACTGGAGTGACGAGGCTCATTGCAGTATGTGACAGGCTGTGTGGGGTTTGTCTGGGGGGACAGGGATTCCATTCAGGGGCCTGGAAACCAGCACCATTCCATCGTCCAGTACTGACAACCACCCGGCGCTTGGGTGGACTTCTTTTAGTTTGCTTTTCTTAAGTGAGCAAATGTGTTTATCTTCCCTCACTCCATGTGACAGCTGTGTGTTTGCACACCTTCCAAAGGCCTGATTTCATTAGGAACTCGACAGCTAGATGTGCTTTGGAACACATCAGGGACTGAAGTGTTTTTGCTTAAAGTATCTTAAAATTGGGAAAATGCTTTCTGTTTATTTTGTTTGGGTGAGGGTTTTTGTTTTTGTTTTTAAAGCTTTGAGTATAAAGGTCAACTTTTTTAAAAAAAGGATATTTTTAATAGGAAAATTTTTTACCCTCATGATTTTTAACAGTTGTGACACAGAAGATGCAAAATCTTTTGTTGGTTTATGCTTCCTCTAAATCTGGAGAGAGTGACGGCAAGAACTGTTTTGAATCCATGGATTGGTAGATTCAGCCTTAAACATCCTCAGTTTACTTACCATTGATTTGATCAGTCATTTTGACTAAAACGGTGGTTTATCCAATATTGTATTTGTGTGTTTGGGCTGCTTTACAAAATACCACAGGCTGGGTGCCTTAAACAGCAGAAATGTATTTTCTCACAGTTTGGAGGCTGGAAAGTCCAAGATGAAGGTCCAACAGTGTCAGTTTCTGGTGAGAATTCTGTTCCTGGCTTGCAGGCAGCTGCCATCTGCCTGTGTGTTCACATAACCTCTTTGGAGAGGCGAAGGGAGAGGGGAGGAGAGAGAGCTCTGCTGTCTCTTCCTCTTCTTACAAGGGTATGAGCCCTATTCAGTTAAGGCCCCACCCTTATGACCTTTATCACCTCCTCACAGGCCCTGTCTCCAAATACAGTCATGTTGGGGTTTAGGGCTTCAACATACAAAGTTTGGGCAGACACAGACATTCAGTCCATATCAGATTTATATTCAGTTCTAAAATTGATTTGCAATTATGCAACAGATTAAAAGGAAAAATTAGCCTCAAGAATACATTGCAGGATCTGTGTCCAAAACAGGACCATATACAATGGTGTTCAAGTTGCTTTCTAATGGTTCTATGACCAGCAGTAGTTACTGTGGGAAAAGCTGTGTTTTATTCCCTGTAGGGGTTACCAAGGCTTTATAAGGGCTCATCTTAGTTGCTCACCTGAGTTGAAAGGTTCGTCTGGTGTGTTTGCCAGGAGGACCAACTCTTCATCCATATGAAGGGTTAGGATGCTTATTTACCATAACTTTTGAAAGACAGTATATTATGGTAATATTTAGGGTCAGTGTTTCCCAAACTGGTGTCCCATAGTACCTGAGTCTTGAAAAATGCTTGGGAAAAAAATAAGTTTGAGAAATGCTGTCTATCAGACCCACTTCTTAGAGATCTACAATACATATTCGTTCATTAAAGGTCCGGATAAATCCTACAGTTTAAAAAAAACACATTAATTTTATCTTGGTATTTCCTGAAAATTATTTGTTCATATATACCCTCACCTTTAATTAATTTATTTATTCGTGCATTTATTTATTTTGCATAATATCTAGCATCCTGTAGAATTTCAGTTAAGCCACCATATATTTTGGAAATGTTTTCACTAAGATATTTGTATTTATAATTTGGAATTCTCTCTTCAAAAAAACCTATGGCATGTGATTGTACATGAAAAACATTTTTTTTTGGATGTTTACTTACATTAGGGAGTATTGCTGTGGACTTGAGAACAAATATTGTGTAAAGCACCTACAGTAGGGATTTTAAGTGGTTCAGTAGAATTATATACAGTAACGGGAGTTACAGTGGAATCTCTTGTTTATCTCCCACTTATGGCCCATGTTATGTCATATGCAAATTCTGCATGTGCCTCTATCCCCACTGCTGGGCTAACACTGGCTTCATCATTATGTTCCTCCACTACATTGAACATTGCACTTTACACAGTAAGAGATTTCTGCTGCATTTGTCGAAACTGAATTTCAAGGAGTAAATTTTCCTAGTCAGTGACTGAACAAAGAAGGCAGTATTATTATTATGCAAGGTATTCAGCAATATCCTAGGAGTGCAAGAGTTTATTAAGACATGGGCCTTCTTCATAACCACACTTCAAAAACCATTTGGCTTAGTTTTTTGAGGAAATACATCCCTTCAGAATACTTGTCTATGAAAATGCTTAGTTGGACATTGAGAGCTTTGCATGCAATTGTTCCTGACCTTACAAGGACATCTGCCTCTGAGCTTTAACATTCAGTGCTTGTGGCATTTCAGCATGCATGTTTATAGAAGGTGCCACCCTCCTGTTGTCACCACCCTGAAGTGAAGGAATAGTGTTACCTCTGAATTAGGGCGTGGATACAAATCAGAGCTGGAATGCAACCCACAGATACTCCTGCGGGGAGAAGGAAATTTTGCTGGGCTTCCCACGTTCTGAGGGTCCTGGCGGGTACAGGAGGAGGATTGCCTTCCAAGGAAGGAAGGGAAGCGATTTGCTATTTGTGAGTTCCCTAATCAACTGTACTAGAAGCATTTACCTACATGATTTGATTGAATTTTCAGCGAGCGAAGTATTCTTCCTTTTTGTTCAGATGCAGAGCCGAGGCTCACTGCCATGAATGAATTTGTCAGTGTCTCAAAGTGCTAGATTTGAACCCACTCCTGAATGGGTCCAAATCTAACTGTTTTCTCTAAACTGTGCTGCCTCTGACTTGCCCATGTCCGTAAAAGTGCGAATTTGGTGAATGATTGTACTCCGATCATTCATAAGACAGGGAAATGTCTAGTTTGGTTGCTCTATTATGCTGAGGGAGATAATTGTCTTTTACAGGGGCTCTCCAGGTATCTGGGCCTGCTTACTGACCCTCCCCTGGCAACTCATTTTGCCATGTTTATCAGTCTCTTCCTGATCAGTAAAATGGACCGATTTCTAACCACCTAGAGCAATTTTAGTGGTATAGTGAAAAGATTTTTGAAGATGAAGGGTTTTCTTTTTTTTTTTTTTTTTTTTAATTTCTAGCTCCGTGGCTCGAGGCAGGCTACTTCTCCAGGTTCTCCTTGTCATCAAGGCTGACAGCACAATTGCATCTCCAGGAAGCCCCACCTGCGGGGATTCGAATTCCATTGGTCTGGAGGGGGTGCCCAGGCAGCAGTACCTTTTGTAAAACTCCCCCAGTGATTCTCGTGTGCAGCCAGGTGTGAAACCACTGCCCTAGAGGGTGTCTGGTGTCTCTTTTGCTGCTAACATTCTATGTTTTTTTTTTTTTTTTTTGCGGTACGCAGGCCTCTCACTGCTGTGGCCTCTCCCGTTGCAGAGCACAGGCTCTAGACGCGCAGGCTCAGCGGCCATGGCTCACGGGCCCAGCCGCTCCGCGGCATGTGGGATCTTCCCGGACCGCAGCACGAACCCGCGTCCCCTGCATCAGCAGGCGGACTCTCAATTACTGCGCCACCAGGGAAGCCCGGTTGATTTATTTTTGAGGACTGTGGTGAACTAATTATACTGAGTTAACTAATTATCCTAGTTAGTATAATTAGTTATACTAATTATCACACAGTATAGTGATTAATATTATAAGGTCTTGAGTCAGGCTGCCTGTCTTCCTATTTCTTCTTTATCATTTCCGGCCTCTGTGGACACAGAAAGTTACTCAGTCTCTCTGGGCCTCAGTGTCCTCATCGGTAATATGGAGACAATAAGTAATAGTAACTACCTCTAGAATTGTTGGGCAGAATAATGAATCACTGGATGTCAAGCACAGAGACCAGTGTCTGGCATGCAGTAACTCTCAAAGGGCATTAGGATTTATGGTTGTGATTGTGGCTGTGATCTTATTCTCCATGCCCTCCCTCCTCCCAACACTGCTCCCACCGCTGCCCCGCCAAAGGTCATGTGATACATTGTAGAGGAGACAAATACTACAACATGCACAACGGTTTTCAAAGCAGCACCACATGAAGCTATGTAGAAAGGAGGCCACCCAAACAGCACAAAATAAAAACTGATATTCCAAATAATGTTTCCGAGTCATCAGAAATGACTGTACCGGGCTTCCCTGGTGGCGCAGTGGTTGGGAGTCCGCCTGCCGATGCAGGGGATGCGGGTTCCTGCCCCGGTTCCGGGGGGATCCCGCGTGCCGCGGAGCGGCTGGGACCGTGAGCCATGGCCGCTGAGCCTGCGCGTCCGGAGCCTGTGCTCTGCAGCGGGAGGGGCCACAGCAGTGAGAGGCCTGCGTACTGCAAAAAAAAAAAAAAAAAAAAAACAGAAAAACTGTACCTACCATAGTTTCTTTACTAAGACGGGGCGCAAGTAAATACTAGAAAGATTTCCACCACATTAATAAAAATAAAAGTTTACCACTCTATGCCGATGGAGGAAGCTTCAGATGTGTGGAAGGTTCACTTCTGTTTAGTGACAGTCTGATTATGCGGAATCGATCAAATTATTGAATAATCTTGAATTCCCACTATGTGTGAAGCATGTTGTAGATACCTAGTAAATGTAGAGACTGTTAAGACATGGTTTCTTGCTTCATGACACTTTTAATCTAATCAGGGAAATGGCATCTAAAAATAGAGATCATTAAATATAGTGTTTTAGAACAATATAATAGATGTCACCGAGCAAAAGAAGATTGTGTTAAAAAAAAAAGGCCCTGTGAGTAGAGAAGAGTGCAGATCACTGGTTGCCAGCTTGGTGTGGAGAGACCTGATGGAAAAGACGGGATTAGAACTGGCCTTGGACTGAGGTGATGTTTGGATATTCCAGGACAGTAGCTCTCAACTGGGGGCAGTATTACTCCTGGGGGGTGTTTTGCAATGTATGGAGACCTGTTTGATTGTCACCACTGCAGAGGTCGGAGGGGATGCTACTGGCATTTAGTGGGCAGTGGCTGGGAGTGTTGATGAATATCACACGAGGCACAGGGTAGCTCCCCACAACAAAGAGTCCCCCAGCCCCAAATGTCAGCAGTACTGCGGTTGAGAAATCCTCCTTTGGAGCTAGAAGTCAATAGGTGAAAAAAACCCAGGAGGTCAAGAAGCCCGGATCACTGTAATAATCTGGGCAACTGTGGGCAAACTGGTTAACCTCTTTGGTCATCTCAAAACGAGGGCATCTCGGGATGGAAACTGAGCATCCATATTTGAATCCTGAGTTGAGGCAGCATGATTATGTTTATAGACTCATAGAGACTGAGCCAATTGAATGAGGCTCGTGATAAAAGGCTTTCTGTTCCTTAGCTCTCCCCTTTCATTTAATGACAATTTTGAGGGGTAAACGTTAGTCATTGTGATGCCAGACTGAAATAGATATTAACAAGAACTTCAGAAGTAACATTTTGTATCAAGCTCTCTTTCAGAAAAAAGGATCTGTATCTAGAAAAACACCTACCTTAGGTTACGCAAAATTATGCTTGTATTGAATGAGAAAATCACAGCAAGCAGCTTTTGCAGGTTTTGATCGTCGGCCCCAAATTACACTGACGACATCTCTTTTCAGTTCAAATAAACATTTATTCCAATAAAAGGAGGCACTGTGATCTTTGCTATTTGCTATGTATTTTTCTGGGTGTGCAGTGCCTTTGGTTAAGGCTTTGTGTGTTTACTAATTACACAGACCTTAGGGAGGCAACAAGTTGTTTTCCAAATGCAGCTAGTTTTGTAGCTAACCTCTGAAAATGGCATCTAACCAAGAAAGTCATAACAGTGGAAAGTTGCATCTGCACCTGTGTGAATAAAGAGGAATTTTTTAAAAATGTTTGAAGCATTTTCACTTATGAAATAAGTTAATAAGTGAGCGTTAATTTACAAAATATGTCCAATGAGGTGTTTTAGTATGAATTACCGGGGATCCCAGAATAGGCCACACACAGGGGCCACGTTGGAAACTTTTAGTGTGTTCCCAGGTTAATCAGATTCTGAAAGGAATATTTGATTTCCCAGTCCTATCATCAAAAAAATGAAGTGTACTGCTTAAAAAAATTAATTCGTATGGTTAAGAATCTGTCACCCCTCCACCCTGTCTCCTCCTTCAGGTAATGTAAGTACTTCTGCACTGATGGTCAAGGTGAGGACCCTGGTACTGCTGATTCTAGCATGCCGATTCAAAACTTCTCACAAGAGATGAAAATAAAAATCAAAAAGATCTTTTAAAACTTCCTGAGGAAATGTATATATCTTGATGCACAAATTCCCCAACCCTGGGATCTCTTTTTAGTCCTTATATTTTCCCTTATGATGGTTGTCCCAGGGGAAATGAAAAGTTAAAAGTACTTACAAAGTTCTGTATGTGTATAAGTGTGAGCATATGTGTATGCACGTGTGTGTTTGTGTATGTACACATACACACACCCTCTTAATGATGGCGCTGAACAGATGATCGCTAAGGCCCATTCCATTTCTAAAATGATGTCATTCTAAGAGTATTTAAGTAACTTTTTTTTAGAAGAATGCTCTTTGAAAGAGAAGTTGATGAATCATGTCAGTAACAAGTATAATATTTTGATGTGGCTAACAGTTTCACTGATCAATGCCCAAGACTTTTTAAAATAAATTTATTTCTTTATTTATTTTTGGCTGCGTTGGGTCTTCATTGCTGCTCACGGGCTTTCTCTGGTTGCAGCGAGCAGGGGCTACTCTTTGTTGCAGTGAGCGGGCTTCTCATTGCGGTGGCTCCTCTTGTTGCGGAGCACGGGCTCTAGGCACGTGGGCTTCAGTAGTTGTGGCACGTGGGCTCAGTAGTCGGGGCTTGCGGGCTCTAGAGCGCAGGCTCAGTAGTTGTGGCACACGCGCTTAGTTTCTCCGCGGCATGTGGGATCTTCCCGGACCAGGGATCCTACCCATGTCCCCTGCATTGGCAGGCGGATTCTTAACCACTGCGCCACCAGGGAAGTCCCTTTGCCCAAGACTTCTGATAATAAATTGTTATAGAGTTTGGGATGTTTATAGTAAAGAGGCAGCCATCACCAGTTGTATGAGATGCAGGCATCTGCTTGAGGAGGAACAATTAGCTGTAATTCAGGAGACTGGACTGTTGACCATTAGATTCTTGGTCTTTCTCAGCCAAGCAGACTGATCCTCACATGTGCCTCCATTTCTCACCTCTTTCCTTTGTTCTTGCTATTCCCTCTATTTGAAACCTGCTGAAGTTTTCATTCCATCCACTCTACCAAAATCCTCCTCATCTTCTGTGATCCCGCTCCAGCCTTACAAATCTATTTTTGAACTTCATTCACTTTAAATAAGGGAAAAAATAATACATTTAAGAAATCAAGTTTCTATTACATGCAGGCTTTACATGTATTTTAAACATTTTTACAGCTTTATTGAGGTATAATTTACATACTGTAAAAACCCATTGATTTTTAGTAAATTTATAGCATTGTGCAACCATCACCACAATCTACTTCTAGAACTCTTTCATCTCTCCCCACACTTTCCTTCTACCTATTTGCAGTCAGTCCCCACTCCCACATCTCCAGCCTTAGATTACCACTGCTCTGACATCTGTCTCTGTAAGTTTGCCTTTTCCAAGAACTTCATAAATGGGTTGCATAATACGTAGTCTTTGTATCTGGTTTCTTTCACTTAGCATAATGTTTCTGAGCTTCATCTATGTTGTCACATGTATCAGTAGTTTGATACTTTTAATTGGTGAATAGTATCCCATTGTAAGAATATACTACATTTTGCTTATCCATTTACCAGTCGTTGAGCATTTAGATTGTTTCCAGTCTTTGGCTACTATGGATAATGCTGCTGTAGACATTCACATACAAGTCTTTGTGTGGATATATGTTTCACTTCTCTTGGGTAGCTTTCTAAGTGTGGAATTCATGAATCACGTGATAAGGTTAGAGTTAAGTTTATAAGAAGCAGCCAAACTGCTTTCCAAAGTGGCATTATTATTATTTTACATCCCCACCAACTATATATGAGAGTTTCAGTTTCTTAAAATCCTTGCCAATACTTGGCATTATCTGTCTTATCTATTATAACTATTTTAGGGGATATGTAATAGTATCTTATTGTGGTTTACTTGCATTTCCTTAATGATTATATTGGGCACCTTTTCATGTGCTTATCAGCCATTCATATGTCTTTATGAAGACTTTCTATTCAAGATTTTTGCCTCTTTGTAATTGGATTGTTTGTCTTATTGAGTGTAAGACGTCTATATATATTCTGGATATAAGTCCTTTATCAGATAACATGCTTTGAAAATATTTTTTTTCAGTATGTGGCTTGTCTTTTCATTTTTAAATAGTATCTTTGGAAGCACAAATATGTTTAATTTTAATGGATAACCATTATTTTTTTCTTTTAGCCTTGTGTTTTGTTGTTATAGTGAAGAATTCTTTGCCCTCCCCAAGGTCATGAAGATTTTTTTCTGTGTTTTTTCCTAGAGGCTTCATAATTTTAGCTCTTACATTGAAGTCTATAATCCATTTTGAGATAATTTTTATGTATGGTTTGAGGTAAAGGTCAGAGTTCATTTTTGTGTATTTGAAATCCAATTGTCCCAACACCATTTGTTGAAGAGTATTCTTTTCCCATTTAATTGTCTTGGAAACTTACAGACATTAATTTATTATTTATACCTTCCCCTAAACTCTATTAAGTAATTGCTCTTATCCTAACTTCAAAAATAAGTTTACAGACTTATAAATTTTAACTAATACGCTCAAATTCCCACAGCTAAGGCATGATAGAACCAGGATAGGAGTTCTGTTTTACCCAAGAACAAGACCTATCTTCTTATTAAAATTTCCTTGCATGATGTTTATTCCAACATTAAACTATAAGCTTCCTGAGGTTTTATATCACTTATTCTTATCTTGGCACCATAATCTAGGACAGTACTGTTTATTTGAGGGTCATGCTGTGAAACATTCAATTGACTTAAGTGATGTGAAAGTAAGCAATGACTCTATAATCTAAATGACTTTTTCTCTTTGTTACGTTTATGCTTACCATGGGCAAAACTAGACTTTCATTTTAAAGGAAACATTTTTTAAGAAATAACTACTCACCCTCTATTAAGTGTTCATTCTGTATGAACATGAACTTCATTAGGAACCATGGTGAGTTGAGAATGTCTTTTCTCATATTTGACTCTAAAGGAGCTTTCAGGTGTCATAAAGTGGAACTCAGATAAATACTGTCAGGAAGTGATAAAAGCATTGTCTTGGGAGCCAGAGGGTCCTAGTCGTGGTTCTCCAGGAACTTGTTATGTGACCTTGAGCAAATCATTAGATCTCTCTGCACCACAGTCTCCTCACCTGTAAAAGAATAGATGTGGACCAGGTTACATTATGATTTCCCTCCCATGATATGCTTTCGTTATATAAACTGCTACTGTAACATCCTGTTCTGCTCTAATGAGCCATCGGTGTCTTCTCTTATTTTCAGATTGCAGCGAGAGTCTGTTTCACTGTCACACGGGCAAGTGCCTTAATTATAGCCTGGTATGTGATGGATATGATGACTGTGGGGATCTGAGTGATGAGCAAAACTGTGGTAAGTAGCACCATTTCCCTGAAGGTTTTCATTTAAAATTGCAGACATTTATAATCAAAAACTTGTAACTCATTGTTTTTTAATGTGATTAGTGGGTGAAATTACAAAATGATTGGTTTCTTAATTTTCCGAAAGAGGAAGTTTTTTAAATTATTAGTTTCAGTCATGTCTCATGTGTAAATGTAAGATTTCTTACAAAAAGTCATGCTAAGGAAATGCTAGAGATGTGGAGTAGAAATGGGAGTTAACTTTTTTTTTTCTCTTTGAAAATGTTTGATTTCTTCTCTGGTTGGAGCCAGTGGCTCGTGTTTAGATTCTGAGCTCTTGAGCAAAACGTTGCAGACAGATATATTTTCTGTTCCTGATCCCCTTAATATGTATAACCAGAGACCCCTCCTTTATTTGATTGCCACACACTACGGGGGCAACTTCTGCAGTGGGGATATCGAAGGTTAGAAGGGTGCATCTGTTTTTTATGTACAGAAGCTGATCTTAACTTTTAAAGAAGGAACCTACCTCCTAGGTGCACGTTTGTACCTATAAACAGCATCTTCCCAATTCCTCACCCTCCCAGCCCCTGGTAACCAGCAGTCTACACTCTGTTTGAACAAAATCACATTTTTTTAGATTCCACATGTTAGTGATATCACACAGTATTTGTCTTTCTTTTTCTGGCTTATCTTATTTAGCATAAACTTATACAACACTCTATGTCAATTATATCTCAATTAAAAAAACAAGAATGACCCTACCTTTAAAAGAGCCAAGTTCAATTCTGAATGCCCTCTCATGAATTAAAACCAGCAAAATTCTTCTTGCTTATTTACCTTTCTGAATTTGTGATTAGCTTTTGAACTTTTTTTAGGTAGTATATTATTGAGTGACAGAAGAACTTTCTAATAGGAGCAGAAGGGCAAGGTGAGATGAGGCAGGACACTGGGAAAATGATGTGAAATGATTATTCAGCATTAGAGAATATCAAAAGAAATGCTGGGGGAGAATCAGGAGTGAGTCAGGGGAATGCCTCGGAGGAGTGGTGAATGTCCCAAATGGCCCCATGCTGGGAAACTCAGTAGTTCCTAGAAGCACCTGTGTAGCCACCTCTCACTGCATCCATAAGAATGTTGGAAAATGTACGTATGCGCAAAACATCCCACGGGTCACTAGATAGATATGGATTATCTTCTGGGATTGAGTAGTCTTGGGACACAAAGAATGAGACACCATTGTAATTGTATACATCATAAAATGTATAGTTTGTGGCCTTAGAGATTATCTACTCCAATTCCTCCTTTTACCAATAAGATAACTGGAGAAAAGACAGTAAAAATGAGGGAGGGGGGAATTGAGTGTAGCTTGGTAGTTCAGTAGGTCAGTGGAGAGGACCAGTGTATAGTTGGCATGTGAAAGACAGTGGTCTTACCAACTCAACCTAGTTCCTCTGAAGGTAGTAGGATATCATGAGGTTTGTGCTCTTAGGATGACTTTGTTTCTATCTAATGGTAATAATCACGATGTCCTCTTAGACCTTTCTCTGTCCCGGCTCCCCATCTTTAGCAGGCTGAGCATGTGCTGGCTCCGCTGGTTCCCACCCCATGCATCCCAGCCATTGTGTCTTTCTTCTTTTTTTTTTTTTTTTTTTTGGTACGCAGGCCTCTCACTGTTTTGGCCTCTCCCGTTGCGGGGCACAGGCTCCGGACGCGCAGGCTCAGCGGCCATGGCTCACGGGCCCAGCCGCGCCGCGGCACGTGGGATCCTCCCGGACCGGGGCATGAACACGTGTCCCCTGCATTGGCAGGCGGACTCCCAACCACTGCGCCACCGGGGGGGCCCATGTCTTTCTTCTTTTCTCTGCACCATTTCGTCCATCTTCTTCACTTAATTGCTCCCCTATATCCTTAAAGACCCGTGGTCCCTCCACAGGTCTGTTAAAGACAGTGGTGCTGTTAATGGAAATCCATGATAGTTCCTCATTATGGAATCTGTTATTCACGAATCTACATACATCTTTTAAAGGGTTGTTTATATTAAGGTTATTCCATGTCTCATATCAAAGAATCCTATAGGTTCTGCCCTCTGTGAGAGGAAACATCACTTAGTTCTCCTTTTTCCCCAGGAATATGTAGTTTGGGACAGAGGTTAAATCCAGGATAAAAAGAATCATTAAAAAAACCCAAATATTTTGCATTTCTTACCCAGCAGTTCTTTCAAGTATGAGTTATATATTTAGACAGTTCAATAGAAAACCTTAGCTTAGCATCAGGCAAGATGACAGGAGGAGATACCTGCCTCCGCAGTTTATCACAGAGAGGTAAGTTGCAATTCTTAGAAACATGACAGAGTTGTCACGAATCATCAAATCAGCTATCTACATTGTGAAACCCAAATCATAGTTCTGTTTATTTGAGCCAAATCACAAAATTTTCATAAGGAAAGAAAACAGTGACTAAACACAACAAAACCCAGAACAAGCTATGGGTCCTAGAAAAGCTGGGAGCTTGTTATTCATCTGAAAAGCAGTCAGGTCTTACCCCGTAGTGATGGTGGCCGGGGGGCCACATGGTTGCCCGGGAGGTGCCAGACCCAGAGTAGAAAGGTTATTGACGGTATTGGAATAATTGGAACAGACTCTCTTCTACTGGAACTTGTTCTACTGGAACAAGCCACACAGTTCTAAGTGTTTGTCATGCTGGTTCTCTCCATCCTCCTGAGTTTTTCTTTCCTCCAGACTGCAACCCCATAGAGGAGCATCGCTGTGGAGATGGACGCTGCATTGCCATAGAGTGGGTGTGTGACGGTGACCATGACTGTGGGGATAAGTCTGACGAGGTCAATTGCTGTGAGTGCCCTGAGGGCTTTCATTTTGCTTATTTTTCTACTTCTGCCTGTTTAGTCAAATACACTCAAGGTTCACTATCTAAACAGATTCTTGCACTTTGGTCCTAGCCTATACAGATAATAATTGAGTGGTGTGATGACAATAACAGCATAGTGTAACTGACTTCCGCCTCTCTTTCTCCAAAACTCCAAGCCTGATTCGGCTGCTCTGGCCAAGCGGGTGGCAGTTTTCTTTCTCATTGTCCACAAATATCCTTTCTGGGCCTGCGACTTTGTCAAAGGGAATGTTCTTCCCAGAGACTGGGGCACTTTTCTTCTGCAAACAATATATGAGCAGTTAAGTGGGAGCCTCCAGAGGTGCTCTCAGGTACCACATGTGGGAGAGCCAGGGGAGAACTGGCAGAGGTAAGAGAGCCTTCAGTGTTCATAGAGTTACGCAGAGTGTGCAATAATATTGTAACTTTAGAGCCTGTCTTATTTCTGGGTGAGTATATCAGGAGAAAACTCTAACTCAAAAAGACACATGCACGCCAATGTTCATTGCAGTACTGTTTACAATAGCCAGGACATGGCAGCAACCTTAATGTCCCTCGACAGATGAATGGATAAAGAAGATGTGGCACATATATACAACGGAATATTGCTCAGCCATAAAAAAGAATAAAATAATGCCATTTGCAGCAACATGGATGGACCTAGAGATGATCATACTAAGTGAAGTAAGCTAGACAGGGAAAGGCAAATATCATGTATCGTATGTGGAATCTAAAAAAATGATACTAATGAACTAATTTACAAAACAGAAACAGACTCACAGACATAGAAAACAAACATGATTACCAAAGGGGAAAAGTGGGTGGGTGAGGGATAAATTAGGAGGTTGGGATTAACATATACACACGGCTACATATAAAATAGATAACCAACAAGGTCCTACTGTATAGCACAGGGAACTATACTCAATATTTTGTACTAATCTATAAGGGAAAAGAATCTGAAAAGGAATAGATACATATATATATATATATATATATAACTGAATCACTGTGCTGTACACCTGAAACTAACACGATATTGTAAATCAACTATCCTTCAATTAAAAAAACAAAGTCTTCAGGTAGCTATCACACTACCTGCCTAATAAAATCAAATATGGCTGATCACATTTTATTCCCTAGAAACTACAGTATACTCAGTAGGGGATAAAAAAATGATTGCATAACAGCAGCTATTTGTTAAAAGAGAGTAATATTGATCTGAAAGCGTTAATATGGTGCATTTTATGCATGTTCAAACTAATTAAACTCTTTATTCCATCTTTTGCTGTCTAATAAAAGCAGGAACAGCTGATACATATGAGATTGACTATTTAATTTGCCTATAATTTGAGACAAAATTACAAATGTGGGTTGCATGGTTTTTATTTTGACATAAGAAAAATCACATAAATTAATTAGGAAATGCAATGCCCAGCTTTCTTCTTTCCTGAACTTGTTTGAACTGGAATAGTACCTGAGTCCTTGCTTAGTGGACATAGTGGAACAGAGTGGACTGTATTTTGATGGATCTTGGAAAAGCAAGGACTTGGTGCTCATGTATGTATTTGTGTATGTGTGTGTGTATGTATGTGCGTATGTAGACCGTAAGTTGGTGAAGGCCGAGGTCATATGATACATGGGTTTCTAACGCTCTAAAAGACAATAGGGATAAAATTAAGACAACCTTCAGAAATTGGAAGGTTAATGGCCACTAGACCATCCCTTTTAAATGTCAGACATCGTAAGCAAGTTTTGAAATAAAGTGTTTATTGTGGGGTAGGTACTATGCAAGTCTTTCACATATACCACTTCATTAGTGCATTAGGTCAGGTTGGTGCAGAGTGAAATGTTGGGGCTTGGGTTAGAAGAGCTTGCCTTCACATTCTGGCCGTACCTTTTAACAGCCTTGAGACTTTGAGGCAAACACTAAACTCTCTAAGCTTCAGTTTCCTTCTTCTAAACAAGGTCGATAATATCCATTTGCAAATTTGCTCTGAGGATTTGAGATTAGACACCTAATACTCCTAGCACAGTTATTGCCATATAGTAAGCCTTTAATAAATGGTAGCTTTTATATTAGTAGTATAACTACTACCATCATTAATACTGTTTTTCACCATGCAATGATCAAGAAAAAATTTTCAGTGAGTGCTACTTAATAAGGGAAGAGAAATTCCTGAAAGGAAACTTTCCATTCCAAAGATACTTGGAATGAACAAAATGAATGATATATTCATTCATTTATGCAGAACATTCAGAAATTTAGAACACTTCATTCTTGGTGATGCCAGATAAATGGGAATCATTGATGTGATCTATAGACTGAAAGAAGTAGAGATAATTAAAAGGCATGTTATTTTGGCATTTCCTAGCATGTCACAGCCAGGGTCTGGTGGAATGCAGGAGTGGCCAGTGTATCCCCAGCACTTTCCAGTGTGATGGAGACGAGGACTGTAAGGACGGAAGTGATGAGGAGAGCTGCACCAATGGTAAGTGTGTGCTGCAGCCCCGGAAACGGTCCTGACCGGTGGGCCTTTCCTTGGGAGCACAGCAAAAAGTTGGAAGTTACCTACAGCTTAAAGGATCCCCATATAAATAATGCCAGATTGCCTAATGCACTGGTCCTCACAGCTCTGGTCAGCCAGAAACCCTTGCTTATGGTAAATGTAACTCTCATGCAACTTACACTGAAAAATCATCCCTAAGGGTGAAGAGTAGAGGTTAAACACTTAAACAGCATGGGCAGATTCAGTTAGATGTTTTATGGGGAAACACCACAATAAAGAGAAAAATGTAGCGTATAGTATTCAATTCAATTAGATTTCAATTAGAAATAACTGGCTTCTGAAATTAAATGTAACGGCTTCCTAAAATAACCATGTACAGAGAAGCAGTTTAATGCCTCACATCTTAACTGGGGTATAATTGCTTTACAATGGTGTGTTAGTTTCTGCTTTATAACAAAGTGAATCAGCTATACATATATCCCCATATGCCCTCCCTCTTGCGTCTCGCTCCCACCCTCCCTATCCCACCCCTCTACGTGGTCACAAAATACCGAGCTGATCTCCCTGTGCCATGCGGCTGCTTCCCACTAGCTATCTATTTTTACATATGATAGTGTCTATATGTCCATGCCACTCTCTCACTTCATCCCAGCTTACCCTTCCCCCTCCCCGTGGCCTCAGGTCCTTTCTCTACATCTGCGTCTTTACTCCTGTCCTGACCCTAGGTTCTTCAGAACTATTTTTTTTAAATTCCATATATATGCGTTACCATACGGTATTTGTTTTTCTCTGACTTACTTCACTCTGTATGACAGTCTCTAGGTCCATCCACCTCACTACAAATAACTCAATTTCATTCCTTTTTATGGCTGAGTAATATTCCATTGTGTATATGTGCCACATCTTCTTTATCCATTCATCTGTCCATGGACACTTAGGTTGCTTCCATGACCTGGCTATTGTAAATAGAGCGTCAATGAACATTGTGGTACATGACTCTTTTTGAATTATGGTTTTCTCAGGGTATATGCCCAGTAGTGGGATTGCTGGGTCATATGGTAGTTCTATTTTTAGTTTTTTAAGGAACCTCCATACTGTTCTCCATAGTGGCTGTATCAATTTACATTCCCACCAACAGTGCAAGAGGGTTCCCTTTTCTCCACACCCTCTCCAGCGTTTATTGTTTGTAAATTTTTTGATGATGGCCATTCTGACTGATGTGAGGTGATATCTCATTGTAGTTTTGATTTGCATTTCTCTAATGATTAGTGATGTTGAGCATCCTTTCATGTGTTTGTTGGCAATCTGCATATCTTCTTTGGAGAAATGTCTATTTACATCTTCTGCCCATTTTTGGATTGGGTTGTTTGTTTTTTGATATTGAGCTGCTTGTAAATTTTTGAGGTTAATCCTTTGTCAGTTGCTTCATTTGCAAATATTTTCTCCCATTCTGAGTGTTGTCTTTTCGTCTTGTTTATGTTTTCCTTCCAAGCAATATACTTAAATACACTTTAAAAGGAGTCTGATATTATCTGTGAAACCCCCAAAGAAAAAGTAAATCAAATAAGTTGGTTTTTTTAAGTGTGTCTATTTCTGCCAGAAAAGAAAGCTCTACACTGATTGTTTTAAGTCCCAGTTTGTGTAGAAGCATCTCTCAGTACAGGGTTGGTAATATCCTTTGGCTTAAAAATCACTACATTTGCTTATAATTGACCTTACCTCTTACCAACATAGCCTAGTTGTTAAGAATGTGGATGTTGCCGCCCAGCTGCCTGGGTTCAAACCCCAGCTCTGCCACCTACTCCCTGGTTGACTTTAGTCCAGTAACTTAACCCTGTTACATTTCAGTTTCTGTGTCTGTAATCTCAGAATAATGATAACTACTTAATAGAGATGGCACATGGTGAGCACTCAATAAATGTAAGTTCTTATCACATGGCTGCTATGTGAAAGCAAGTCTTAGGCTGTGTATATTCCAAAATCAGCTAATGAGATTGGTCACCGATAACTAAATTAGCTTTTTCATAGTGAATATTGATCATTAGGATGGCTTTAATGAAAACGCATTTCAGACCTAAAGGGAGAGCCTTTTAATCACAGATTTAGTCCATAAAAAACTAGATAACGAGTGCTTCATTTTACCAGGTTTGTTTTTTTTTTGCGGTATGCGGGCCTCTCACTGCTGTGGCTTCTCCCATTGTGGAGCACAGGCTCCGGACACGCAGGCTCAGCGGCCGTGGCTCACGGGCGCAGCCGCTCCGTGGCATGTGGGATCTTCCCGGACGGGGGCACAAACCCGTGTCCCCTGCATCGGCAGGTGGACTCTCAACCACTGCACCACCAGGGAAGCCCCATTTTACCAGTTTTAAAATTCAGAAGGAATTCCCTTTCTAGCCATGAGTTATTGTGTGCATGTCAGCCAAGCAACTCCCTTTTGATCAAATAGTTCTTTCTCTCTACGTAATTCAATGCTGTTTGAAATAATTTTGGATTTTTTTACTATGCAGTGGCAGGATTTGAAAATACTTCCTTCCATGTGTGAGATGTTAGAAAGTCACATGATAAAATGGATCACAAAGTAAAATTGTAGCATCTTTATCCACTCTAATGAATTCAATATAATAAAAGTATATTGTGGTGCTGGGAATTTAGTGGCAAGCAAAACGGCTGATGCGGCTAGCAGGCTCCTGGGGGAGACAAGCCGATACAAATAATTGTGCTGGTCCTTGTCTAACTGGGGAGTGACATAGGCCAGGAGGGAAATTCAAGGTGCTAGGATGCCACGTATTGGATGCATGTCCTGGTAAAGGGCCTCTGGGAAGCTTCCCTGAGATGGAGCTGTAGGAGCCACAGTCTGAAGAATGAATGGAATTAACAAAGGAGAGTGGGGCTGGAGAAAGAATTTTAGACACAGGGAACCGCTTGGCCAAAGGCACGGAGGTGGCAGGAAGGAGCAAGGTAGTTTAGAGTAGTGGGAGAAGGCCACTGCGTTCGGCGAGCTGAGACTGAAGGGGAGCGAGTTACAAGCGTCAGCAGTGATCGAAGGCTGGTTCTGCTCAAACAGGCTGGGAGGGGGTCTGGGACTGCTTCTGCCAGGACTCGGGGCCCTATTCAAGATTTAGGCCATTACAACCCTCAGCCTCACTCTCAACCTTCCTGTTCAGTCTCCCTTAAGCTCCAGTGACTCCAGCCTGTGTACTTTTTACTCCAGGCCTTTGCATATCCTGCTGTCTGCTTGGGAAACCCATCCTTCCCTCTTATCCACCTTACCCCATCTGCCTGAAAAACTCCTTTGAGAAGCTTTACTCTTACTGTCGTCGTTTGCGTTTACTGCTTTTTGCACGGACCTTCAGTGGAGCAATGATCACGTGGCATCGTAAGATTGCGTTCATGATGATATCCCTAATTAGGGTGGAAATTATCAGGGTTTTCTGTCTTTTAATGCTCAGTGCCTAGCTGGTCACATAAGTTGTCACATAGTGGGCGCTTAATACTGGCTGAAATAATGAATGCATGCTGTCTTAATAAAATTTCTTCAAGAGACTAAATTCATGGAACTTATCCTGGCTTACCTTGCAAAAAAAAGTTTGACCTGCTAACATTAAAAAAAGAAAAGGAGTGATATCTATTTTATGCAAGGCTGTGATATATAGTGTTGTTCATTAATGGTACTGGAAGGGAGAAAGAGTCCAGAATACGAAATATTATATTTAGAATTATAGATAAGATTATAGATAAGTCTTAGAATTATAGATAAGAAAGTCCAGTATAATAAATATTGTCTTAGAATTACAGATAAGAATGATTGTATGTATACCCATACTGTTATTTATATTTAAAACTGCCTCGCAAGATTTTCAAGGTTCCACATGACGTGTCTGAGTAATTGACTATAATGGGGGTGAGCTAGAAAGAGAACAAGCAGTAATTTATTACCTTATCCATTTAATCTACAAATGACCAGGAAATCAATGGGAAAAGCAGTTTCCTCTCCACATACCTTAAGGAAAAGCCATTAGGTTGATGTTACTGTTGTCATCCATTTGGAAACAAGAAACCCAATTCTCAGATCATTGCAGCTAGGCCAGTGCTACTTTCCAAGGACACAGAAAATATGGATAACAGCTGCTTAAGACTTATGCCATGATAAAGTATCCTTATTGTATTGATGTTGATGCCTTATTTATTATTAAGGAAAGCATTTTCCTTAGAGGAAAGACTAGAGTTGGGATCAAATGAGTCTTAAAAATATTGGCCCTTCCCTCAAATCACTTGAATTTTATTTTGTCATCAACTCCATGCACCCATGTAAATGTAAGATGCTCTCTTTTCCATTAAAAGCAGCGACAGATGATTTTTGAAGGATGGGTTGCCTCTTACTTCTTTATTCCTACAGAATCTCAACATGTGTTCAAAATTTTTGGAGAAGTTGGAAGGAAATTAAAGTTGTGTCCTTCCTCGGTTCTGGATCCTTCAGATCCTCGTGCATGGAATTTATAGTTGCTGATGAAAGTAAATGTGCTTTTACCCCGCCTGTAGGTCAGACTCCGTGTCAAGAAGGAGATCAAAGATGCCTCTACAGTTCCTGCCTTGATTCATGTGGTGGTAGCTCTCTTTGTGATCCCAGCAACAGTCTGAATAATTGTAGTAAGTACAGTTGCTGCAGACAAATTCAATTACCACGTCAGGCTATGTATTCAGTTTTATCCTCTTGCATTGACATTAAAATGCTGAAGTGTGGAATCCCTCCAAAATATGTATATATATATTTCTCTCTTTTTCTAAAGGTTGCATGTGGTAGCAGAAAAGAAGCAAAATGGTCTTAATTAACTTAAATCATAAACAAATGTGTCATCATGAATGGGCTATAAATCCATTGCTTAATGTCATTGCCGTGACTTTCCACTCAACGTCAGCTCCTATATATTATTTTCTTGGCTGCATCTGCAGGAAAATGCTATCTTTCTTCCTTTTTAAAGCCCAACTTCAAAAATGGAAACTTTATCCAAGAAGTAAATATGAAGTTCATTTAAATAGCCACATAAAACTTTGGCGGCCTGTTCTTGTAATAAAATGTATTCTCACCCTTCCAGGAACTTTGCTGACCTGTAATGACCTCGCTACAAATGGTGCAGACAGGTGGCTGTATCCAAACTGGCTTCAGGAGGAGGAATGATTAGGGGAAGATTGAATGGGCAGGGGTAGCAGGAAGACTCTCTCGGGAAATTTTAGATGAATTGGAAAGCCCCCAAAGACTGATTTCTAGTAATGGCTTGCTTACTTCTGGGCTCTGCTTTCACATTCTACTCCCTTCTTTCACTTTTTAGAATTAATTTTTGGCTTCCCTGTCAGCTTGGGCTTGAGATTTAGAAGCAGGTCTGTCAGCTTTCAGTTGACAAGAAGGTATGACTTCTTAGCACAGATCCCAGCAGTGAAGGCCCCTGGAGGCCGGGAGGTTGAAAGGCTGAAGGGTTTGGGTCCCTGGATTTGCTGAAGTTTTCAGATCCTAATTCTACTTTGTGACCTTTCTGGGTCAATGTAGAGCTTATGGGTGGCAGGTAGCCCGTACCCCTTAGGGGATATCAAGGGGTGAAAACAGTGGGCTGGATAGGAGTGTGAGGGCCACAGCCAATTAATAACCCAGACTAACAAGATTTTTTGTTTAATTTCACAAGCACTTAATAACTGTTTGGCCGAAAGCACAATACCCAGCCCTCCTCCATTTCCCATAGGAGAGAACAGTACAGATATCAGTCTGACCGCTAAGACACACTACCATTTTATTCACTCTAAAATGATTAAATATATGTCTATGTATGTGTATATATGTATATACATATGATTTGACTTTGCTCATCTCCCAGTCTGCCCTGGAACTCTTTCAGAATCATTTTTTTTTACTTCACCTTGAACTTGGGCTGTAGCATTTTGGACAGTGACAGTATTGTCTCAGACACATGTATTTTATTAAAGTTTTGGGGGTTGTCTGACATGTAATGGCACTTACTGTTAGATTAAAAAATGGTGAGAGAGCAATGTTAGTCTGTGTCAAATTTAGGCAGGGAGTAACCAAGTATATGTTATCCTATTTTCTCTATACTTGAAATATTTCAAGATTAAAAATAAAAATAAGTTATCACCTGTCCAAAAAAAAAGGAACTTGTAGGAAGGGCACTAGATAACTCAGCTGGTATGTATGTTGACTTAAAAAAAATGCACAACGTGAGAGTTGCGAGTTAAGTTTTATTGGGCAAAATGAGGACTGCAGGCCGGGAGATAGCATTTCAGATAACTCTGAAAAAACAGGTAGTCAGGAATGTTAAAAGATTATTATTAATCAAAGAATACCAGATATCTCAAGTTAAGGAATTTAGCGCTTTTCTATGTATGGGAAGATGCAAGAGTCTTGACTCCCTGAAATAATTCCTTTGATACGCACCTCAGCTCTCCCGGCCAGTATCCAGTGTTTTCACATCCTGAGTTTCCTCAGGGCTCACCGCAGGGAGTGGCTGCAGTCTGATGGCTGCTAGATGGCAGGTATTCTTTTCAGCCCTGAGTTTCAGCTCACGTTGGAGGGCTACAATCATTGGTGACTGTGACATCCTTCGTTCATTGATATGGCAGGAAATATTCCATTTATCATGTATATTCAACCAGTATTTCTAGTGTGTCTGTGATGTCCCAGGCACTGGGATGGGCACTGGGCACTTTGATGGCAATGAAGGGAAACATGATTCCAGCCTTCCTGGAGCTAACTTTTCAACAGTGGGATCATATGGCCACCTTCCCATTCATATATACAACTTTGGTTTTCTTCTTTTTTTTTTTTCTTTTTTTTTTTTTTTTTTTGTTCGCGGGCCTTTCACTGTTTTTGCCTTTTCCATTTCTGAGCACAGGCTCCGGACGCGCAGGCCCAGCGGCCGTGGCTCACGGGCCCAGCCGCTCCGCGGCATGTGGGATCTTCCCGGACCAGGGCACGAACTCGTGTCCCCTGCATCGGCAGGCGGACTCTCAACCACTGCGCCACCAGGGAAGCCCTGGTTTTCTTTTTATGTTCTTCAAATACACTCAAACCATTTCCCTAGCATCTCACCACCTCATCAGCTTCCTCCTTCATCACAGATGTTCTTGCCACGTTCTCTCCATATATATTCAGCAAACATTGGAACACCCCCTTTTCCGAGTATCAGGCATTGGGCTTGTCCTTGGTCTCCATTCCTTCTGTGTTATTAAAAATAAGTGTTGGAGAAAAAAGTACATGAGTGAACATTTAGAACTAAAGGTTGATGGAGTACTGTGGGAAACTTGGGGGGGGGTCCCTGAGGCATGACAGTCATACCTGGCTTCATACAGCCATGGCGATCATGGGCGCGAGGAGAGACCCATGCCCAGGAGCTGCTGTCTCTGCTAGGCACATAAGCAGTGTATATGCCTAACTTCCAGCTGAGAGCAAAGATGTTATTCCTTCTTTTTCAAGGAGCTTCAGGATGGTGTGTGTCTACTTGGTTCTCTGTAAATATGGACGAGTATCATCTCCTCTCAGAAAACTCTTCATGCACTTGAAAATGTGATTAATTGTTTAAAGATCTTTGACACTGTCAGAGACTACTGTTATTTAGATTCTGGAGCACGACTGAGCAGCGCTCTCTTTCTCTGGCTCCCTGCCAGTGGGGAATATGAGTTTGGAGAACGTGGACATTCTTTCCAGTGGAGTCAGCCTCTCACTGGAGTTGCTGGGAGGCTAGTCCTTAAAGATAATGGTTCTTGCCACCCCATAAAATATTATAATAACGTTCCAATGGTCCCTGAAGATATACTGGGTGGGACCCTGGCATCAGTATTTTTAAAATTCCCCAGGTGACCCCAGTGTGCAGCAAAAGTTGAGAATTATTGCTTTGTGGGCTGACGAGGCTGCTGGGATTAGTGACATCCTGAAATTGGGTGTGAAAAAAAGTCTTCGTGGTTTTCTTTTCCTTTTTTTTTTTTTTTTTTTTTTTTTTTTTTTTGCGGTACGCGGGCCTCTCACTGTTGTGGCCTCTCCCGTTGCGGAGCACAGGTTCCGGACGCGCAGGCTCAGTGGCCATGGCTCACGGGCCTAGCTGCTCCGCGGCACGTCGGATCTTCCCGGACTGGGGCACGAACCCATGTCCCCTGCATCGGCAGGAGGACTCTCAACCACTGCGCCACCAGGGAAGCCCTGGTTTTCATATTTTTCAGTGGATAAGATCCATGGTTTATCTCAGATTAGCAGAAGTGCCTACAATTAAAAAAAGCCTAAAGAACACATCTCAGATGATATTGTGTATGGAGAGGCTTAAAAGTATTACAGTATCACCACATCCACTCCAGCCCAGAATCTTTAACATGTTTGCACCCTGCTGGGAGGCAAAATACGAACATGTCCTTGCCTTGGCGGGTAGGATCAGGAATGTTATTTCCCATCAGTCTGGTGTGGAGGGACTAATCCATCACCTGTACCTTGTAGAGTGCAATCCAGACATCTGGGGGAACCTGGCGGAGAGAGCAGCTCCTGGGCATGTGTCTCTCCCCACCTCCCTGCGCCCATGATCGCCATGGCTGTATGAAGCCTGGTGTGACTGTCATGCCTCAGGGACCCTCCCAGGTTTCCCAGAGTGTTCCATCAACCTTTAGTTCTACATGTTTACTTGTGTACATTTTTCTTCCAACACTTATTTTTAATAACAGAGAAGGAATGGGGACGAGTGACTAGCCCAGTGCCTGACACTCAGAAGAGGGGGTGTTCCAATGTTTGCTGAATATATATGGAGGGAACCTGGCAAGAACACCTGTGATGAAAGAGGAAGCTGATGAGACAGTGAGATGCTAGGGAAACTGTCTGAGTGTATTTGAAGAACAGAAAAGGAAAACCAAAGTCGTATATATGAGTGGGAAGATGGCAGTATGATTCCCCCCCACTGAAAAGTTATATCCAGGAAGAAATGAACAGCTTTGTTCTTCAAATAATTTCCCAGTGGTCTGTCAATTTCCTGCCCTCTCCTTGCAATCTCTAGGTGGAAGGAACAGATAGTATAGGGGTGTAGTCAAAAAGCCATATGCTGTAATGATTAAGGACTTCAGTTCTCAGGATCAAATAGTAGATGAGAGGAACAACCTCTTTCTAAAAGCATTCCCAGCTAGTAAGTGGAAGATAAATGATTGAATTCGAATATTACCATTTGGTAACCAGGTGAATTAACAGGGCAAGGCACTGCGCATGGACATAGAGCTGTAGACGTCACAAAAAGAAATCAGACGGATGTGTCTTCTGATGAAAGAACACCGCAACACCTAGAGTCTTGCCAAAGGGATGAAGCCTAATGAGCCCCCTGGCTTCAGCTGCCAGTGTTCAGGAGACAAGGGGGACGGGGAAACATGTTTAGCCTCCCCACGAGTGTGCAATCAGCAAAATCCAAACTCTGGCACACTCTACAGGTCAAGTCCCCGGATTCTTCAATAGTTAAACATTAAAGAAAAATAGAGAGATGGAGGGGAGGGGGAACATAGATAGTATAAGAGACTTCAATTTGGTTTTCAAAAATGGGTAGCCAAACTGTAGTGTGTAGGATGTGGTGCACACTTATGTAATGAAGCTATGAAGAAGAGAAAGGAAGTGATGACTCTGAAACTCAGCATTTACTTTGTGGGGGAAGGAGAAGGTCGACATAAGACAGGGGATATGGAAGGGTACGTGGGATGTCTGGCAGAGTTCAATTGCTTGACCTGGGTAGTAGGTATAAGGGTGTTCACCTTATAATAGCTCTTCAAATTCTAAAAACTAAATAATAATAAAGAGAGCTTTAAAGTTTTGACGCAAAGATGAATCTCGGATATATATGCCAATGGATGTTGGAAATGACATTTTCTCATGTAAACGACCATCAATCTAATACATGATTTCCATTGGCTTCAGGTATTGCATCATGATGAAGATGTAACATCGTTTAGTTAACAGTCCTTTCTTTAGGTTGAATTTATCAAATATTGTTTCAGACTTTGAAAGGTGGGCTGTCATTGAGACTCCATCAGGATCTTTTTTTCTACAGATACTTATTAAACCTCATCTGTCCTCAGAATGCCATGCCAGGCACTGCCTCAAGCTCATACTGAATTATACAGCCCTGCAACAGCTAAACGTCCTCACATGTTTGTGACGTGATCGCCCTCTAGTGGCTAATGTCAGTCAGGCTTGTCAGTGAGTCTACTGCTTAAGATATAAAAGTCTATTGATACCATAAATCATAGAATTTGAGGTTGCCAGATAGTTGAGAGTTTCTCTTGCTTAGCACTTTGTGAAGAACGCCTTTATGAAGGAAGCAAAACAACCTCACCGCATTCAGTAAAGATCTCAGAATAATATATGATCATAACTTAATCCTTTCATCTCCCTTGACTCTGAGACACTTAAAGCCTATATCTTATCCTAAATCAAAATCGATACATCCCACATATCAAAAGAGAGAAAAGTTATGCATGTGATATGCCTATTAATCATCTCAAGGAAACAAACTCATAAAAAGTTAAAACTTCATAGGGTAGTTGAGGAAGAAGAGAGAAAGAAAAGACATCTACAGGGAAAAAAAGGCTGCATCAAAATATGTGTGAATGATCCCATTTTCGTAAAATTTTAAGTATATTAAAGAAATTAAGAAAAATATAGAGTGTGAGCTGCCTCTACTGATTTGTAAGATGGTCGTGACAGGTAATCAAGCAACAAAAGCAAGCTGAAGAGGAAACCCATCTTTTGGCATTGAGGGAAGTTAAGAGAGAGGGAGGTGGGGAGATGAGCTTTTCCTATATGTGTCTTTGTATTGTTTTCATTGTTATAAGGAATATGCATTTTTTGTGTATAATCTGAACTCAAAGCATTGCAGTGTTTCTCCTCTTTCACAAATCAAAGAAGTGGTAAGCTGAACCAGCCCCATACCTCCTCTGTCTCTTTTTCTTCTCTCCACCCTGTAGGCATCCTCAGGATTATGCCAGCTTTAGAGTGTTGCTTCTTCCTCAATAAACTGGGAGTCTTACATACTTGGTCCGTGAGATTTTTCAGTCTGGCCAGTATCAGGCTCCTTATAAGCATAATCCCTGCAAAGCCCTCAGACTCTTTACAGTACGAAATAGTCCCAGAGCTGTTTTAATATTTCACCGCAGTCCTTATTGCTAATCTGTTTGCCTGCATACCATTTCCTAGTCAAATAATTAAATTTAATTTGAATAATTACTCTTAATAAGGCATGAAATCTCTGGTGGACCTGACCTGATTCTACCAAGACACTCCCTTGATTTCCTCTCTCCTCTGGGAATGAAGCACGTCCACCGCAGACAGAGAGGGGACAGAGAGCCTTTCCACCGCATTCCACCAAACCTGCCCAAACCCCGCTTATCCTGGGAAGGCTTCCCAAGCTGCTCCTATCCACCCTGTCTCTCCGGGCTCTAGCATTTTGTTCAGTCCCACTAGCCTAGCCTGTTCATGTTATACCGCAGCTACCTGCATGTGTCTTTCTTCCTCTGGAGACTTAGAGTGCTTCAATGCCAGGGACTCTATTTTGTATTGTTTTTACATTTTAAAGTGCCTAGGATACTTTCTGATGCCTCCCCGCTCCTTTCCTTCCTTAATTCTCACACTATGCTTGGTGCAGACTTTGAGATCAAGAAATAAGTTCTCCAGGGAACTATATTCAATGTCTTGTAATAAACTATAATGGAAAAGAATCTGAAAAACAATTAATTTTATATATATATACGTGTGTGTGTTTATGAATCACTTTGCTGTACACCAGAGACTAACACAACATTGTAAATCAACTATACTTCAATTAAAAAAAAGAAATGAGGTCTCATTTCACAAAACTCTCAAATCGTATGGGGAAGGCAAGTAAGTAAAGAATAGAGCAGAGGGTAATGAGTGCATGGCATGCACACCCTGGAGATGCTCTGGAGCTCAGCAGAGACTCCTACTAGGAGTGGAAGGGGAAGAGTGGTTGGCCAGAAAGCCTTCCTGGAAGAGGGGTTTGTGCTGAGTGCTGCAGAACAAGGAGAAATTAGCTTAGAGGGGAGGATGGGGAAGGATGATTCCAATCAGCAGTTGCCCTATGTACCTGGCAGCTAGAACCATGATTGCATTTGAGGGGTGATTACAAGTGTGTGAAGGAAAGAAGGGGATAAAAGCTAACAGGGCCCACGAAGGACACATGCAATTCTTAAAATGTCTGGTGTCGCCAAGGAAATATTGCTGGCGAGATAGTCATGGGTGACGAGGCTGGAAAGTTAGGCTGTGATTTGGAGTGTGAAATAGCCTTGGATGCCAAGCTAAAGCGTTAGGGGTTATCTCATTGGCAATGGATAGCTAATGGATCTCAGCCTCCTCTTGCCCTGAAATTGTATAGCCTTATACACTGATCAACAATAAAACGTATAGAAAAAAGTCATCTAATTGCCTATTTAGCCAAATTCATTGATTTTTTAAAATGGCTGTGAAGGTGGCGGGGAATACACTAGTTTAGAAGTAATGGATAAATCAGAAGACAAATTAAAGTGAGTAAAAGGAATCAGATAAGTGGAGCCGAGGGAAAAAAATGAGAAAGACTCTAAAACATGCATTCTGGACAGTGTGCTAGCAGCTCCATATACAGAAATGAATCTTGGTTTGTCAAGACACTTCATTGACCACACTATTTACCTTTTGAGGGCAATCTCATATACTACTTACATCTAGTCTTAGCTACTTCCAAGAAAGAGGGTACGATAGACTTTTTAAAATAAATTTATTTATTTATCTATCTATTTATTTATTTATTTATTTTGCGGTACGCGGGCTTCTCACTGCTGTGGCCCCTCCTGTTGCGGAGCACAGGCTCCGGACACGCAGGTTCAGTGGCCATGGCTCACGGGCCCAGCCGCTCCACGGCATGTGGGATCTTCCCAGACTGGGGCACGAACCCGTGTCCCCTGCATCGGCAGGCAGACTCTCAACCACTGTGCCACCACGGAAGCCCTAGACTTTAATTTTGTAAGTTTTTAAGAAATTGTTTTCCATGTGAAATTTAAAAATATAATATGTATCTGTATGTGTGTTTTTTTTGTTAGGTCAGTGTGAACCAATTACGTTGGAACTCTGCATGAATTTGCCCTACAACCATACAAATTATCCAAATTACCTCGGCCACAGGACTCAAAAGGAAGCATCCATCAGCTGGGAGTCTTCTCTTTTCCCTGCACTTGTTCAAACCAACTGTTACAAATACCTCATGTTCTTTGCTTGCACCATCTTGGTACCAAAGTGTGACAAGAATACAAGCCAGCGTATCCCTCCTTGCAGGTAATACATTGGGGTCTCCCCCAGGCATCCTCATTTTCCCTCAAGGAGAACCAAGGGAATGAAGACATAGTTTGAGTTTAGACAAAATACATACATTGCCAACAAGTCCTGTATTTAACAAATTACCTATTTAAAAAGTAAAGAAGTAGGAATTCTAAAATGAATATCTGAGTAAGAATTCATCAGTAAAATACCAAACCAGAGAGATATGAACTGCCTTTTATAATAATTCATGGACTTTAATCAAATGAAATCACAAGTGTTTCATTTTGTTGGATCAGGAAGCGGTTTTTAAAATGTGAGTCAGCAGTAAGGGTGTGTCTGCCTGTTTCTCTGGCAGTGTTGATGTATTTTAAATGCTGCCTTCTGATAGCATCAAAAGTTAGGAGACATTACACAAAGAGTGGGCTGAAGGAGTCATCACACCAAACTCACAGGATGGACGGGGGATGGACGCTGCTGTTTTTTTACCTGGTTAGATGAAATACAGGATGGTATTTCAAGAGTGTGGCTTGAATTTAGGATATGAGTGATGCCCTACGGGTTAAGATTATTACTCTGGTGTCCACCTCCTGGTTCAAATCCTGGCTCTTCTGTAGCTGCTTGTAGCCTGAGACAGGTTCCTCAGTCTCTCCCAGCCTCAGTTTCTTTACCTGTAAGATCAGGATAGTGGTGGTGGTTGGGTTGGGTTGTTGTGAGATTAGATGAATGTACATAAATGTAAAGTGGTGCCCATTGATTGTAAGCCCAGAATAAACAAAGCTCTGATGTTAGGACAGGAGTGCAACTAACTGCTTTGTGGCAGTTTGGTCCCTCTTCTATGCTGTGTGTTCAGGGTCATAGCCAGAGAATGTGCACCTACAAGGTGGCTGTCACAGAGGTGAGGGCTGCTTTTCTCAGGGCTGTTTTCCATCAAGGGGTGAATACACAGATGTGCCTGCCTAAATATGAGTGGTAACTATGGAAACCATATGTTGGGATCAGAAGTCACTCAGAGCTTTAAGAAAAAGCAAGAATATCAATACAGTGGACAGATGGGAAAACAGTAAATTATATGCCAAATATCAAATGGATGACAAGGTAGGGCCATCTACAGAGTTGGGACAGGAAGCAATAAAATTTAAAAATGATTTGGGGGAACTAAACAAATTATACAAATAGAGTGAAATTTAATGTTGGCTGTGCAAACATAATTCTGAGCATTTCTATTAAATGCCTTTTAAAGTATCACTAATAAAACGTCTGCCAGTTTGATGTTAACAAGTTATTTATAAATCTCATTCTACTTTTCCTAAGCAAGGTTGGTGATAGTGAATAATTACTTTCCGTAGTACTTAACAAATTCTTGTATTTGACTTTCTTTTCATATGTGTATAAGAATTTCCCTATTGCAGTGTTCTCTGGAACGAATTTATATCCACCTATGATTGATAATTTTAGGACTTAGGTTTCATATTAAAATGCCTAAGAGAAGACTGATCCTGAAATACTATTCAATAAACATTTTTGAATAAATGTTTAGAATAAACATTTTGAATAAAGTGTTGAACTTCTAGACACTTGAGTTTTGTTTCTTAGGTTTACACATACACGTACATCTTTCATTTCCAGTGGCTATCAAAGTGAGTTTTACATTCTGATATTTGTAAGAAAAATTTTTGGATTACGACAAGAATAATATACTGATATGCTCATGGGGTAACACATAATTCCTTTTGCCAAGCTTCGTTATTGATCTTAAAATTCAGTTTTTAAGCTATGAGTTGGAAAAAAAATCTAACATTCTTGAGCCCTTAAAATGTGCTGAATACTTTAGGGTAGTTATCATCCTCAAAATAACCTTTTAGGACTGCTGTCTCTATGGCTGAGCACTGCACAGATTATTATAAGAACAGGTGTGCCAGGGAGTTGTAGTGCCACATATTGTATTTCCATTTTATAGGAAAAAAAAAATGGTAGAGTCAGGCACTACCTGACTACCATCTAAATTAGGTATCGTTTGGTTAATTTAAAATAGCAGCAATTGAGTTATATACATTTTTATGTTAATCTGCAACAAAACTATTCAGTCCAACAGAGAGTTACTAAACACCGTTGAGCTTCCCATTTTTGCAAACCTAATATGGGAATGCCATGGCTTTGTCTTTGCCCCAAATTCCTAGGCTAAACCAGCATCAAGTTATGCTCTATCTTAACTTAAATCTAGACAGACTTAAATCTAGACAGAGCCTTTTCTGAAACGTCTCCATTCAATTGCTAACCGTTCCTTACCTGTTGAAATTAACTTAGTGGTTTAAAGTTTGAAACTTTTAAGAAATGAGAATGTATTTAAAGGGAAATAAAAAATTTGCCTAGGAACTTACTTTCATTATGTCTACTTAAAAAAAAAAATCCGTAACGAATTTCTTGGTAATATATTGAGGCAAACTGTTTTTTTCTTTCCCCATAGGAAGTAAAGCCATCTTCTTTGAGACATGCTGATACCTCAATTTTAAAATATTCTGGTGCAAATGAGATAATACACATAAAAGCACCTAGTACAATGCTTAGTATGTCTCTTCTTTAACAAAGACCAACAAACTTCATTTTTTACCAACTTGAGCTCAATACAGATGGATTTGGTGTAAGCTGAAGTAATAATGCCTTAGGTGAGCCAGGTTGGCGCAGGAAATGGCTCACATCCCAGGGCACCACAGGGGGCTGAGGGTGTTGTATAGATTCCATGACCTTTGGTGGCAGACTGTCCAAGTGATTTTGGGGGCTTCCCTGCTTAAAACAAAAAACACTGGAGTGTGTCTGCCTGAAAGACAGAAGAGAAAATGAGAAAGGCAAACTGGAGGAGGGAATCCGTGTTCTGGGAACATCTCTATTTCCATTTCTGCAATGAAGTTTCTTTTGGTGAAAGTATGTTTCTGGAATGTATCCCCCTTGTAGCAATATTACTCAGTTTGGTTTCCCAAATATCTGTTGTGTATATGTGCATTCATATATATACATTGGTATGCACACACACTGCATACACACACCACATATACACGCCAACCCATAGCCATATAGAATTAAAACCCTACATAGAGGCCTAACATCAGGTGTAGCTGTTTCTGCTTGTAATATTTTGTCTTTCTCGCTCTTTTAGAGCTCTGTGTGAGCATTCCAAAGAACGCTGTGAGTCTGTTCTTGGGATTGTGGGCCTACAATGGCCAGAAGACACAGATTGCAATCAATTTCCAGAGGAAAATTCAGACAGTCAAACCTGTCTAATGCCTGATGACGATGTGGAAGGTTAATTTTTAAATTAATTACAATGGGGTATCTAACATGGATGACTATATCAGCTACTTTTAGAAGTTTCTCTGTTGTTATTGTTTGTATTTAGTTACCAGTAGAAAGGCTGCATAGGTGGTGAATCTATAAACTTGATTACATTGAAGAATTTGATACCCATCTGTTAGACATTGTCTTCATTTAAAAAATAAATTGCAGAGATGACTTTAATACTCTAGGTATTTATTTTAAACACACTTAACTCACAGAGTCCATTATATATGGATGCTGCTTTTATACTAGGGCCCCTGTAGGTAATGGTGAAGATCATGCCTTGGTTCCTTCAAGTGCAAAGCATTCAGAGACCTTGGCAATGTAGGATAATCAAGTAGAGAAATGGGATCGAGGACCTGCCCACTAGGTGGAAAGATTAGGATGGGTAACAATATGACACATTAAAGGTAAGCCAGCTGGGTAGTTAGAAGGATTGACTTCATAGGACATTTCAGGCTCCAGCAATTGTTAGGCTGTCCATTCGGAAAGAGAGTTCATTGCTGGAAAGCATAAAGACACAAAACAGCTGATCTGAAGAGGTGATGTCAAGGATGAAGGGAAAAGATGCTAATAGGCAGACAGAAGAAAGCCAAGTAAACTTTGACTATTTCAGCTGTGTGAAGGACCATCCTTATGTTCAGTGATAACTTCTCCACAACATCCCACATGTAAATGGATAAATTAGCTGATGGTTCTGGGTTTTCTGTCTGTTGACAGTAATATGGCCCACTGCTTTTAACAGAATGCTCACCTAGTCACTTCAAGTGCAGCTCAGGACGGTGTGTTCTGGCTTCCAGAAGATGTGATGGCCAGGCTGACTGTGATGATGATAGTGATGAAGAAAACTGTGGTATGTATGTGAGATGGCACTTTTCTTGAATGTACACTAATACCTCGTTAGGATAAGGGATTGTGTTAAAATATGTCCATTGTTTACTGACAGTTGTAAGTAGTGACTAGGATTGAGTGCTAAGGCATTTACTTCTTAAATTATCAAATGGCAAAACATGAATTATAGGTGTTTTTCCTGTTAATTCCATTGATTTCCCCTAAATTACACTTCTGTTTATAACCTTGAGGACATATGTGCAAACTCTTAGTAAAAGAAGAAGCTCTTCACAAATGTAAGAGATTATTTTTATTGAGAGATTCTAAAGCAGTTGTCATCTGTTTTAAGGTCAGAGTAATAGTGTCCTTGCCTATGATTCCCATATTCTTAAACAGGCATCTAGACACACAAAGACAGAGTGCAGGCTCTAACATTCAAATTTAATTGGGATTTATCTTCATGCCCTCTCTGATTTTTGTCCCTGTCAGCAAAGGATAAAACTCTTCCTGACATTTCTGCCTTTGAACTCCAAAATCACCAATGGAAAGGCCAGAAATGCCAGTGGCAGTTTAAGTGGAGCTAATTCCCATTTTATTTCCCTGCAAACCTTTGTACTTGTAACCTCAAAGTGTGTCAGGGAATAGAAAACAGACAGTGCTCTTTACTAAGCAATATTTTAGAGTAAAGCAAAATGATTGAAGGGCTACCCCAAAGAATAGTTTGGTTATGATTATTTAGCTTGTTCTGCTTAAAAAACCTGACACTTTTTGCCATTGAAAGCACATGAGGCAATGCATCTTTTGAAATCATTTTATTCTTTTGGCCTTTGAGGGATGAAATATTGCCTTGCTTCCCAAAATGAGTTTTCCATAGTAGACATTGCCCTTCTGGTCCAGACAAAATGTCACAAGCAATCAACTGAAATCCTATCAGCTACTATAAATATGGATAAGTGCATCTTCTAGAAAATTAGAACTGTCAGAATGATGGTAATTTTGTTAGGGAGGAACATACAGTGTTTTGAGAAGCTACTGTTGTTTGCTTTGTTTGTGGTCTGTGTGTAAAGAAATAAATCAAAACTCATTGAATATCCCTTATATAAATGATTTATTAAGAATCTATTGGGGGCTTCCCTGGTGGCGCAGTGGTTGAGAGTCCGCCTGCCGATGCAGGGGACGCGGGTTCGTGCCCCGGTCCAGGAGGATCCCACATGCCGCGGAGCGGCTGGGCCCGTGAGCCATGGCCGCTGAGCCTGCGCATCTGGAGCCTGTGCTCCGCAACGGGAGAGGCCACAGCGGTGAGAGGCGCGCATACCTCAAAAAAAAAAAAAAATCTATTGGATTTTTTCACTACACTATGGCTTTGATGGGTTATGGTATTCTGAGATGCAAGTTAAAATAGATTATCTTAGATTGTCCAAAGAGGTTACATGATACTTCCTTGGGTGGCTAGACCGAAATTTGCAGTAGGGGACTAAATATTTGAGAAATGTAAAAATTTAGTCTCAAAAAGAGTCTTATGAAGATTAAATGGTCTGAGTTCTAGAGTATATTCTGTAAAAAAAGAAATTTAAAGCACTATAGGGTACAAGTGATCCTAAAATGTCAGGTTTCTAGTTAAGTAATGAGTTTTTGTCAGTACTTTAATCTCACAATTAAAGGCTCATGAGAACTATCGAATAAATTGTCTAATCTCTATAAAACACTCAAAAGACTGACGATGTTATTGAGAGTTCTGGTTAAGGAAAGTTAAAGGTCAGTAGTAAATTAATACACTTGGAGCATTAATTGCCCCAGCAGTATTAATCTATGAGAGAATTCTCATTAAGTTTTCCAAAGCAACTGGGCCGCATGCACGCGTTTGAATGGGCACGTCCCATGCTCTGGGAGAACACAGCAGTTAAAATCAAATGAAGAAGTCCCGCAGTAGAGGAAGGCCCAATGGAGGACTACTGGGAAATCCTCGGATTCCCATTTTGCCTACTTGCTCTGTTTGTCCCTCTGTTTCCATGGGCGTGGATAGGCATACCATCTGTTAATGCAAACACCAGCTCCAGCAAAGCTGGGTTTCACTCCAAGCTTCCTGTCTTTCTGATTTATTCCGTCCATTGTGGAGTGGAATGCACTTAAATGCTTTGGCTTTCCTGAATACTATGACTATTAACTATTCACTTTCACACATCTGCAGCTCCTCCAAAATTTTAACAACATTATTGGGTTTTCCCCTCAAAACAGTACTTCTTTAATTTAATTATAAAATAATTGATGTGTTGGAAATTTATGCTGTTTCTCTGACACTTCTGCAGCAGGAAAACATGGAGGTCAAAGCACACATTTGTAAATACACTTTTAAAATACATGCGTTAAACATTTGGCAGTAGGTAGTGTTTGTTTTTGGCAGTTCTATAACCTTATTGGACAATCAACAGTTAGTTCTTATCCACGTTAACTGTCTGCAGAGTTTTGAAAGTGGCGAGAGGTGGATAGGTAACCAACGTATAGAGCTTGTTTGGTGAATCTTCATCTTCATTATGTTTTCTGGGCAACTGCACATGGATATGGTATGGGACATTCCTTATTCCGTTGGCCCAGACAGATTTGTTGAGCCTGGTGTCAATGCATACATCTGGAAATCTCATCTCCTTCATGGCAAATATCCGGATTTCTTTGAGTGCCCTAGGGGTGCGCTTCTTGAAACCCACTGCATGGATTCACTTGTGAATGTTGACAGTGTTTTCTCTGGTCACCACCTCATTGATGGTGGACCAGCCCTTCTTCTTCTCGCTTCCCTTCTTTGCGGGAGCCATCCAGCTGGGCTGGGAGTAATGTTGTTCTGACGTGTCTCCTGCTCTTGTGGTAAATTTTTGTTGTTGAAGTTGTACTGATTGTATAATTGTTAGTGTAAACAACAGTCGGAAGTATTGTCATTATTAGAAATGTTTTCAGCAAGTGTTTGGAAGAATTATGTAAATATGAACATATCATTCCAGAATTGCTTCATGGGAGAGAAGTCTAAAAGATAGGAGTGATTTACAGAGTCAGCACTGCGTCAGTACAGAAGCACTTCCTTGTCTTAAAGTGATAGTTTGTCATTAATTGAACATCTACTATGTAGATGAAGCTGGCTGTAGATCTAGCAACTGGATGAAAGAAGCTTATTTTCAATCTGACATTTACCAAGCATTGATATCTAATCAATGGAGAAAAAGGTGCAGATCTGGGCAGAGAAATGAACAAGAAGGGCATAAAGGAAAGGCGAGCTAAAGAAAATAACAATGAGATTATATTTCTGAGCTTTGCCTTCATGCTATAGATCTGAGTTTGTGAGATTGAAGTTAGCTTTTGCTAGGCCTATGTCCACAATTGGATGAGCTATACCAGCAGGAACAAGGTGGTACCTGAGCTATGATGGGAGCAGCGAGTCTTCTCAGTGGGTCAGTTAAAGGAGAATATAGCTCAAACAGTTTTTTTATATCTGCTGGAGAAATAAAACGGTTCATTACATGAATATAACATCACAATTACTAATTGATCACTCTTCTACATAAAAGGGTATACAACATACAGAGAAATGTAGACAATACAAATGCGAGTGTCGTTAAGGACCTTTCTGTTTATCTTCAAATAATTAAAAACCATTTCATCATCTACCTTCGATCTCCTCTGGGGTGATAGATAAAATGCAGTAAAATCTTTCTTTATAACCTGAACCTCTTCTTGGAGTCAAAACCCCTTTAGGCTGTGTTTAAAGCCTCTGGCTCTGATATTTATAGGTTTTACAGCTTGATTTTAAAAGTTTTCCAAAAGACTTTTCTTCCCTAACTGTTTGGACTCCTTAATAGTATTTGTGTATTTCTCACAGAGAAGGACTTTACTGTGTTTTTCTTTTAAATACTCCAGAGAGCCAGTCTCTTTGTCCCTTTGCTTGTGGAAGAGACTGATTTCCTGCTCTGTGACTAGAAGACAGACTGAGGGTCATTGTGTTCATCTCATGTCGCATACCCACAAATGTACTTTCAGAAGGAGTCTTAGGATTGATCTCTGATCACATTTAATCCTTCATGCTAAGGAAGAGACATTCTCCTTCTCTTTAGATATTTTGCTACTTGGCTAACTCTTCGCTATCTGATTTGGTGTCTTGGGCAGGCAGCCTGGAATGGTAGAGTGCTCTCTGTAGACCTAGACTTGGATTTAAATCCAGACTCAGCACTTAGAGGCTGTGTGACTTTTGGCCAGTCACTTAACTTCTCTGGGCCTCAGTTTTCTCACCTGTAACATTTAGAGAAGCACGCTTTATCCCGCACAGTTTGGAATGCTTATAACATGCCTTACTCAGTCCTCAGTGGGCAATAACCAAGAGCCCACTTGCCACAGTGCTAGGAAATCCAGGAGGCAAGTCCCCTTACAGGTCACCTCAGGGATCTCCCTTGAGGGAAGGAGTCCTGTCTAGCTTGGTATTATCTCTGACAGACCAAGGTCTTATTTATGGCAGAGGAGGGCAGACTGGCATGTCACGTCCAAAGCACAGGCTGGGCAGAGTCCCTGATTTACATAGTGAATGTGGGCATCCGGGTGGAGCCTCGTCCTTGAGGTAGTGCTTGTTTTGGTGGTGGATGTCCCCATCTCCAGGATTACGGTCACTGAGGGTGGCTCCCACCCTGCAATTTAAAGCCCTTTCAAAGTCTTCATCCTGCCTCTTCACAGGGTACTGAGACAGCACGTCTTGAAGAGGATGACATGAAGATGGCGCCCCGAAAAGGGGTGTGACTAAGGAATTGGGAGGTCCACTGGGGCTTTCTGGTCAAAGATGGGAGCTCTGTGACTTGTGCTGTCATTGCTGCCCCTGACGGTTAGGCCCAGAGTTCGGGGAGGGAGGCAGCTCCTTTGTTCGGGCTGCTACCACAGATGCTGCGGCTGTTCTTTGAGATCTGGGCTCCATGGCCCAGGGTCACGGGCTCTGGAGGGGCCGTCACATCTGCCAGGCCTGAACCTCACTGCTCAGCTCCCTTGATTTGCTCTGAGGTCACATCCGCAGCCACTGGGGCAGCTGCTGGCCGAAGACGAGCAGCTCTACCCTGACAACACTTTATTTGATGTAGCTCAAGTTAGCAGTCCTGATGAATGGACCCACTTACTCTGTACTGGCATCACTGAAAGCTTCTTAGAGTTCAAGAAGCATCTGCTTTAAGGTGCTTTGCCTTCTTCACCTATAATGACAACTGTTTTGATAGAGAAAAAAGGTGCCTCAGTTCAGGTGGGATCTGCCTCTGACAGGGAAGCCTGCTTCGCAGAGATTTTGTGAAACTGAGAGAGAAAGTGAAGAACCCAGCAGAACGCTTAGCACACTTAGGGTTGACGAACCATTATGCTTTGCCCAGTACTGAGGGGGGTTTCTTGGAAGCAGGGACGTTTAGTGCTCAAACAGGCAAACTGGGATGAGTTGGTCACTTTAGCAATACACGGTGGCCTCTGTGAGTGGGCGTAGCCATTATGTCTGTACGGGGGGAGGTGGCGGTTATTCTGACATCAACAATTATTTGGTTTCATGACCTACAGCTGCATTAAATATCTCATCCCATCCATACCTAGTTTTAATTTTTAATGGAGTCATACCCTTTTCCTTTTAAAGCATGCCTTTAAAGCATAATTACACCAAAAATGCCACTTTAAAGAGAGAATGATTTTTTCACAAAATCATAATGGTATCTTCCATGTGCCTCATGTCTTGACCTTTTCATCCTACTTCATTTATGTTCATCATAACTCCACAAAGGAGGCATTAGGCCACGCAAACTTTTATTAGAAAAGAGAAGATACAGAAGGGAAATTACTGCCTATAGAGTACTCATTTTGTCTTTATAGCAACCCTTTGTAGCAGGCGTTATTATTACTGTTTTAGAGATATGGAAACTGAGGTTCAGAGAAATTAAGGAACTTATCCAAGGTCATACAGCTAATGAGATTTGGAGCTAAGGTTCAAATCCAGATGTCTGACTCTAAGCTTTGTTTCCTTTGCTCTTACCTCTAATGCATACTGAGGACAGCAACTAAAGGCTTGCACCTGCTTCCCTACTGGATCTTTCTCTGTAAGGCTGGATTTGGAGCAATCTGTTTATTTTCTCTAAATCTCAGTTTCTTTACTTAGAAAATGGTGATTGTAATTCTGACATTATGGTATTATTGTAAGAATTAAAACTAATATCTAGAAGGTGGATTTATAGTGGATAATAAATGTTATCTCTTATTATTACCATCTGTGTGCATACAGGTCTTATGTCCCAGTAGATCGACTTTTGTGATCTTTTATCATTTCATTCCAAGTGTCCACATTCTTCTCTGTACTCTTAGGAATGTACCTTGTGAACAGTCAGAAAGACTCATGCTGTTTTCTCTCATCATCTACTAGCAAGTGATGTGGTTTGTGATGAGTCTCCTTGCCAGAACATTCCAGATGATGTCTCTTGGTTCCAGATGATGTATTCTTGTTTTGTTTTTTGTTTTTGTTTGGTTTTTTTTTTTTTTTTGCGGTACACAGGCCTCTCATTGTTGTGGCCTCTCCCGTTGCGGAGCACAGGCTCCGGACGCTCAGGCTCAGCGGCCATGGCTCACGGGCCCAGCTGCTCCACGGCATGTGGGATCTTCCCGGACCGGGGCACGAACCCGTGTCCCCTGCATTGGCAGGCGGACTCTCAACCACTGCGCTACCAGGGAAGCCCCAGATGATTTATTCTTGGTTAGCTGAAAACTCCAGATTATATTCCCATGAGTTCCTAGAATGGATGTCCCTGGGCCTAAAACCATTCTAGATGGTCAGCTAGTGAAGGCCTCTCACTATTTATTTCCTACAGTTTTGCAGTCACATACTCTACTGCTGTCCTGTATTTTTTAATGGTGAAACACTTTAAATCTAATTTTATCCCATAGTAAAAATTTCTCTTCTGGGGACTTATTTTGATAACTTTTCAATGAGAATTTTTTTGTAAAGCAGATTATTTTCTCATAAGGGACTCCAAGAAACCTGAGTCAGTCATCTATGACATTTCTCTGAATGATTTGTACCAGATCAGATGAGAAATAGCATCTCTAAAGAAACCCATTAGGGCTTCCCTGGTGGCGCAGCGGTTGAGAGTCCGCCTGCTGATGCAGGGGACGCGGGTTCGTGCCCCGGTCCGGGAAGATCCCAGATGCCGCTGAGCAGCTGGGCCTGTGAGCCATGGCCGCTGAGCTTGCGCGTCTGGAGCCTGTGCTCCGCAACGGGAGAGGCCACAACAGTGAGAGGCCCATGTACCGCAAAAAAAAAAAGAAAGAAAGAAGCCCCTTATTTCATCACTGCTGAGGGCTAGCTGCTGTTCCAGGCAGGGGGGTTCAGGATGCTCAAAGATGAATACGTGTGGTCTCTTCCTTCTCGCCCCTCACAGCCTGGTGAGGGTCATGGATCCAACTGGAGTGACAAGAACCCATCAGACCCTTGGCATGTTCTAGCGGACGTATACATGCGCTGTGTGTGAAGCAAATGACATTTATTAAGTTCATTGTAAGAGCTCATTATTGTACAGGCAAATTGCAGTTCAAGCTTATAGTCCTGGTCTTAGGCAAATTATGTTCTTTTCTCAGGTTAACTGATAAAGTTCCTAACATGAGATTTCTGGCTACGTGACTGAAGTAATGGCTCTTGAGCTAGTTTTGCAGATATTTGGCATATGGGAGGAGCCTCTTTTGCTAAACACACAGATGGCCTCGCCACTTGTTGATTGAAATTACATTTTAAGATAATATGCATTTAGATCGCTAGGTTTTGGCATATTTGCTTTAAAGCGTTAACTCATCATTTTATAGATGAGTCTTATGTGTTGGCAAATTGGCTTAGAAAGCAAAAGGAACAGCTAAAGATGAACGTTAAAGTACAGTTGCTTTTTCTTTTTTTTTTTTTTCCGATTTCCCATATGTCACTTTTGATCTTCTCCTGGGAGAGCTGTACTATTTATAATGCAGTTTGGAGATTACCAAGCATTTCTGCTTTCAAAATTACATTTTCCATGGTATACAGGAGTCAAAACTCGTTAAGGAAAAGGAAATCATACCTTTATATTGTAACTTTTTTACATTGCTTGATCAAAGCCATTGTTATTTTCACCTTCACATCTATTGCAAATAATCTTTCCTTCTGTCTCCAGGATGTAAAGAGAGAGATCTTTGGGAATGTCCATCTAACAAGCAATGTCTGAAGCACACAGTCGTCTGTGATGGGTTCCCAGACTGCCCTGATCACATGGATGAAACAAATTGCTGTAAGTGCTTACTGTGAATTTGTGAATGTGATGTTTTATTTTAAACACTAATTACCTCTCATTTTGAATGTAAGTGAGAAATTTGGAAATATGTATCAAAAGCTTTTTGTATTTTCAGACCTTTTGATTAAAACTCCACTTGTAAAAAATATATGCCAAGAATACAATCAAACGTGTAAAATGTATGCATAATGATATTAGTCTAGCACGATTTGTAACACGGAAAAAATTAAACCACCCCAAATATCCAAAAATAGGGGCAACATAAAATACAACCATAAAATGAAATAGTATGCAAACATTAAAAATTAAATTAGAAGGATAATTTCTGGTGGGTTCATTACATATCATTCGATGAATAAAACAAAGCATAAAGAATTATGTGTACTATTGTAGTTTTGAAAGTACATATAACCACATAGAAAAAGATCAGAAGGGCATAATAAAAAGTTTACAGTTGTAATCCCTGAATGGTGGAATTATTAAGTTTTTGTGCTTTTCTGTCTTTTCTACATATTCTGAATGAATGGCCAGTAGTTTTAGAATCAGAAAAAAAATCTCCTAAGATGCATTACCTACTAGTAACAGAAAGCCCAACTCAAACAGACTTAAGCAATGAAGAAGCAATTATTCTCTTATTATCCTGTGTTTTGCATATGCCTTATATTATCATATAAAAAATCAAGTGTAGGGCCAGATACAGGAGCTCAGCACCTCTTCTGGGATTCTTTACATTTGCTCGACCTCTAGCTGCCTCCTACCAGAGTCCAAAGATGGCTGCCAAGAGCACCTGGGGTGCCATGCTTCCCTGGTCATAGCCGCTAGGAAGGAGAGAGAACCTCACCCTCATCTCTGGAATATCACTTAGGGCTTCACTCAGATTGGCCAACTTTGAGCTGGGTCCCAGCTAGCAGTCAGCTATTGTTGTGTGGATTCCAAAAAACACCACCTAAACAGCTGAACTGCAAAAAGAAGCATCTTTAGGGAGAACCAATTAGAAAAAGATGCTGTTTCTTCAGGCTAGGACACGTGGCCTGGACAGTGGGGTTTGGGCAGGAACTTCCTTGGAAAGCACAACCTACAAAACCACAGGCCAAGACCCTGATCTCGGATCCCATCTTTACTCCTAGACTAATAACTGTAGTCAGAGGAAAAAAAATTGTAGTCAGAAAAATGCCATGTCTTGCTTAAACGAATCAGGATCTTGCCATGGAGCAGGGGCTGGTGTGCGGGCCTGAATAAATTCATGTTCCCTTAAAAAAGGAGGACACGGGGGTTGGGGAAGTGGGGTGGGATGAACTGGGAGGTTGGGGTTGACATAGATACACTACCATGTGTAAAATAGATAGCTAGCGGGAACCCGCTGTAGAGCACAGGGAGATCAGTTCGGTGCTCTGTGGTGACCTGGATGGGGGTGGGCATGGGAGGGAGGTCCAAGAGGAAGGGGATATGTGTATACATATAGCTGATTCACTCCGTTGTACAGCAGAAACTAACACAATATTGTGAAGCAGCTATACCCCAATAAAAAATAAATACATTTTTTAAAAGGGAGGAAGAAAAGTAATAGATGCTAGGTAGGCAATCAAGGAGTTTTGCCATAGTTTTTAAAAACCCGAGAGAGAATTAGTGTGTGACTCTGAGAGTCATTTAATACTAGAGATTAAAAAGAAATAAAATTACCCATAAATGTGGACAGAGCTGGTTTTCATCCTCGGGTGACTTCAGTCCGCTCATGCCCAGTGCTCTGTTCCCGCCACTTCAGATTTTAGCCCTATGTTCTGATCTCTGGTATTTCTGCTGCTCTGGGTACCACTTCTTCAATCCAGTAGTTAGAACTAGAGAATCTCATCACTTGGAGACAGTAGTTCTGTTTAAATCCTTGCTGTTTGTATGGATGGACCTCTCAGAAATGAGATTTTATCAGTTCTGCTCTTCGATCTTGACACCTGTTTGGAAGTGTGGATGACCACATCTTGTCTTCCTTAGTTGCTCCTGCTGGCAAACCATGATGTGCCTGTTAGTGATAATCACATTCATTCCTAAAATGTTTGTCTCCTCACTTCTTGTTCCCTTGCCAGCATTTTGCCAAGATGATGAGCTAGAATGTGCAAACCACGAGTGTGTGTCACGTGACCGGTGGTGTGACGGCGAAGCCGACTGCATAGACAGTTCCGACGAATGGGACTGTGGTGAGCTGCTTGTTTCTGCCATCTGCTCTATGCTCTAATGCCTGGCAGCCATTTAAGCTAAATGAATCCTAACTGGTTTCACAGATCTTACGAAGTTCATCTATTCTGGTTTACTATTATAAAAGCTGCCAGTGGTGATTTGTACATGTTATTTCCAACTCACAGAACACTTCCCCACAAGTTACTTCTCTGTTTGAAATGTCTATCTTATATGTAAAAATATTTGGGTTCAAACTGTTTTGATGATATAACTTTTCATTTGAATATAATTTTTTAAAAACTCTTTATTATCACCCATAATAAATTATCAATAGTCAGTCATTCTTGTATCATTGACACCTCCTGGAAGAGGATACTGAAGTGGTCTTCCATCTTCCCTGGACTCTCGCTCCAGATCCAGATGAGACTTCTATCTACTCCTTTACATGGACAGGACTTAAAGGCATCTCTCACCAGTATCCCAGTGTTGCAGTTTATCATCTTGAGTTTGGTTCATTCTATCGTCCCACACTCATCCCTGTTTCCATTCCCTTGGCCCTTATTTCAGTCCTTTGCATCATCTGACCAAATCACGGTTATGATGTATATTGTCATTAATTGTGCAGTGTTTCCACGAACAATCTATGGTGTATGAAGTACAGAGGATGCTCTTTGATAAAAGAGGAATTAGTGCATATGCCAGATTAATCTGAAATTAACACATCCCTCTCACACACTTGCATTCTCACAAGCTTTCTTGAAAGGAAACGATTTGAATGAAGTTACAGCTGGCTCCTTCTAATTATGCAAGTCTTTGGGTAAACTCATGGGAATGGGACCTGCCTGTGGCTGTCTTGTAACTCATAATGAAAAGTTAAGAACTGCCTGTCTCTTTCACCAGAGCCTCTAGTTCTTGGAGGGCAGAGAACACATCTAATTCATTTTTTCATCCCCCACCACACGGCAATCAGTGATTGGCACAGGGTAAGAACTCACCAAATGGTTCTTAGCTAAAAGAAATAAAAATGAATGTCTGCAAGTAAAGCAAAAGCATGTTATCATTCGGTGTCATGAGAAGAAATGTTTTAAATTAGGGTTCCCCCCCCTTTTTTCCCCTCAGTGACCCTCTCTGCAAATGTGAACTCCTCGTCATTCCTGACCGCTCACAGATCTGCCATGGAACACCACGTGTGTGCGGATGGCTGGCAGGAGACGTTGAGTCAGCTGGCCTGCAAGCAGATGGGTTTAGGGTAAGGTCAGTAGTTTGTAGCCCTGATGAATTTCTCAGAGGGCTTCACGGAACTTGGCAATAATATCTTCCTTATGAATGCAGAGTGAGTTAGTGCTCTCAAACCTAGCCCTCCAAAGCATGGGAAATGGATCAGGTGAGAGAACTGTATTTGATTACAGGCACCTGCTCTCAAGAGTGCGGGTTTCTGAAAACCTACTTTGATAAAGCCTCTAAAAGTAAATGAAGTCATTGTATTTTAAGGACTTGTGAAATGAAATGCTTTTATTACTTAAAAAAGCATTAAGATGGTTTCCTCTGAGGAAACTGGATGGGAAAATCTTGCGATCCCCGCCCCCAAGAGGTTATTGAAAATTCCTTTTTAAGCAACACAAACCTTTTTAATAAGTTGAGAAATAGAACTTGAAGTTGCTAGTATTTCAATTTACCCTGTGTAATGTAGGAAATGTAAATTAGGAAAGAGTTCACCATTTTTGCTTCTTAGAATGAAAAGCCACTCACTCTGGCTTTGATACAAACACACTGAAATCAATACTTTTAAAGTTGGATTCTTGGTGCAGGGTTTTCTTTTCTAGTTCTATTGGGGTTGGAAAACAATAATTGAAAGGTCTTAGAATATATATGTGAGTGTGTTTATACATATAAACATATAAACACACACATATATTTTTTTCTTTACCAATGATGGATGTGAGATTTGGGGGAAATATAGAAATGATGGAAATAAAAGATAAAGGATTTATAAAATTCTAGAATAAAAAATTGAGTAAATGTCACTTCCCAGGATTCCACAGAGCAAACTTGAAGTAATTTTACAGTAATGAGCCATCCAATTATGGGAGAGCAACTGGCAGCCCATTTTTGCTATCCCAGATTGAAGAATTACGTAAATACCGGCATCTTCAGCCCATTTTTCCCATGTAAAGTCCCACATCTTTGGAAAATTGAGTAACTGATGACATAATAAGAGAGTTTTAAACTTTGCCAGAGTGGAAAAATTATATTTGCCAAGATCGATTAAATTATACTTTATTTTCACCACTTCCTTATTGTGTTTAAATGAAAGGGGATATGACTGTGATCGGAGATAGATTAAAAGCTTTTTGAAGGAGCTTTGCTTTCCTCTCACCAGACACAGGTTATTTCTTTTTCTTTTTTTTGCATCTCACTCTATTTCTTTTTATTTATTATATATTTTAACATCTTTATTGGAGTATAATTGCTCTACAGTGGTGTGTTAGTTTCTGCTTTATAACAAAGTGAATCAGTTATACATATACATATGTCCCCATATCTCTTCGCTCTTGCATCTCCCTCCCTCCCACCCTCCCTATCCCACCCCTCTAGGTGGTCACAAAGCACCGAGCTGATCTCCCTGTGCTATGGGGCTGCTTCCCACTAGCTATCTATTTTACATTTGGTAGTGTATATATGTCCATGCCACTCTCTCACTTCGTCCCAGCTTACCCTTCCACCTCCCCGTGTCCCCCTCCTCAAGTCCATTCTCTACGTCTGCATCTTTATTCCTGTCCTGCCCCTAGGTTCTTCAGAACCATTTTTTTTTTAGATTCCATATATATATGTTAATATACGGTATTTGTCTTTCTCTTTCTGACTTACTTCACTCTGTATGACAGACTCTAGGTCCATCCACCTCACTACAAGTAACTCAATTTCGTTTCTTTTTATGGCTGAGTAATATTCCATTGTATATATGTGCCACATCTTCTTTATCCATTCATCTGTCGATGGACACTTAGGTTGCTTCCATGTCCTGGCTATTGTAAATAGAGCTGCAGTGAACATTGTGGAATGTGACTCTTTTTGAATTATGGTTTTCTCAGGGTATATGCCCAGTAGTGGGATTGCTGGGTCATATGGTAGTTCTATTTTTAGTTTTTTAAGGAACCTCCATACTGTTCTCCATAGTGGCTGTATCAATTTACATTCCCAACAAGGTTATTTCTTAATAAGAAAACTTGATTATGTAATGACAGATAACTTCACTGAGAGTTCTGAAGGAGCGTCGGAACTACAAAGATTTTATAACCAGAAAATTCTTTTGACAAAAGCCACCTTGTTCTGTTGAAAATGGAATGGATCATGTTTAAAATATTCTACTTTATATTTCTTCTAGTTTTTTGAATATTGGACTTAAATTTTTTATTGTGGTAAAATGCACGACATAAAACTCACCATTTTAACCATTTTAAAGTGTACAATTCAGTGGCATTTAGTATATTCATAATGCTATGCAGCCATCACCATTATCTGATTTAGTTCACTAAGTATAATGTTTTCATGCATCCACGTATCAGTACTTTATTTCTGCTTATGGCTGAATAATATTCCATTATGCGGATACACCATATTTTTAAATCTATTCATCCATTGATGAATTCCTCCATTTTAGTGGTCTCTACCTTTGGCTACTGTGTGCATATTGGATTTTGAAAAAAATCTCTTTGCTCCATTTCCTTAACATAGTGGGAAAATGTCATTGCAATATCTTAGGTATTTAAAATCTAAGATAGACGTTTAGATTTTTTAAAGATAACTTTATTTCATAGGAGGGCTAGGAAAATTTGAGAGAGCAGTATGGTTGGAAAACCATAACTGTTATTTGACTGAGTTAATGGGTAAGAAGTGATTCACCTTCGAAGTAAATGAGAACAAAAGGTAACCTTAGTGTTTTTGTACTTCTGGCTTGCCTGCACGTTTACTCTTCAGTTTACGTGGGTGGCTCATGAATTGACAGAGATCTGGAGAACCAGGCTAGGGCAGGAACACAGAAAATGGGCAAGACGAGGCCAAATTCCTGCTGTGGCAATGGGATGCTTAGGGAGCTACTGTCACCACTGTCCCTGGAGAACAGTTGCTGTGCTGCAGACTCACAGTTCTGCCTCTGGTGCTTCAAATTAACTCTAAGTAACCCTGCACCTTTGAGTCATTTCTTCCACATTCAAAGTCCCTAATAGGAGTGTCTCTTTGGCAATGGCTAGACATTGACCTACACTCCAGCTGCCAGAGGGAGGGGAGAGGGATGAGTTGTCCTCTTTTAGCTTCTGGAGTGGAGTGTCCACTCCATGGGCCTGCCTTGATACTGTCAAACATACTCTGCATCCAAAACTTGAAGTTTAAAAAACAACCCCAACTAATTCTATTCAGTAGCTTCCTCCTTGTTTTTTGAGCATCAGCTTGTGGGTCTTGCAGAGGAGTAGGCACTGTGTGGAGGATGCACAGGTGAATAACATTATCAAAGAGCTTATAACGTGGTGGGGAAGACATATTATCTCGATACTATAATATAAATTCATTAAATCATTCATTCATTCATTCAGTAAACATTTAAGAGAAAAGCACTGTCACATAGTATCCAAAACGAACATACCTTAACTCCAAATAGATCGCTCAGCTACTTCAAGGGGTATATTTTGTAGCTAGTTTGTTTAAAATGCAGATCTACACCAGATTACGTGTTTTGCAGGGATTCTACTGAGATGCTTTCACGATAGAAGCAGTTGATTAAAAACACCTGCACTGAGAGTTTTTCAGACCTAAATCATGCTTTCCATGTCTAACAGCAGAAATGCTAGGCTATCAACTAAGTGCTTGTCCAAATGAGAGGATTCAGAGTTCTTTTCTGAATCTGAAAACATTTTATCCCCATCTGCAGGTATCTCTAGAGTTCACCCCAGCTGGAAATATGATGACTATTTGATTAGACAAGGGTATAAATCAAGCCCCTAAATTCTCATGACAGTATATTGACTTTGCTACCTGCGTGTCCAGTATCAGAAACATATGGGCATTTATTTAATCAACAGTACAAATCAGAATTTAGACTGCCCTCTAATACTTGCCAAATGTTCAGTTGAGACATCTGGTATCTGAGGAAGTTGGTCTAAGGGAATGTGATTCTCTGTGTCTCTTGGCCTCATAAGCTTACCTCTATAAAAGTTAGATCATCTGGAAATAGGCTGTACTATTTTGGCAAAAATTCCTTTGTAGAGTTAGTTGCAATTTTATTTTATGCCCTAATCTTTTAGAGTTTGTCAACAGAAGAAACATCCTTCCAAAGAATGTTTCTGTGTCTTGGGCAAAACTGCAAAGAAGGTATCTATTATATTACCTAATAGTCCCTGATATAAGGATTTACATTGTAATTTTTCCTAACATGTACTCCCAGGACAAAGCTTCTAACTTCACATTTCATTTGTCATGTAAGAACTATTTAATCCAGGATGGTTTCCTTATTGATTGACTTCCATGATGCTCGGAGACAGATTCAGTCCTCTGTAGTAGTCAGTCTAGCCCAGGTTGCTGGTCCTGTATATGTAAACCATGGAAAGGAAGTTCAAAACCTTGTAGTTGTTTTATTAAAAATTAAGATATAATTCAGATACCATAAAATTCACTGTTTAAAAGTGTACAATTCAGTTGTTTTTAGTATGGTCACAAAATAGTTGTAATCATCGTCACTGTCTAATTCCAGAACATTTTCATCACTCAAAAAAGAAACCCCACGCTCATTAGCAGTCACTCTCCAGTTCTCCTTCCCTTCAGCCCTTAAAATGTACTAATTTACTTTCTGTCTCTATAGATTTGCCCATTGTGCACATTTCACGTATAGAATCATGCAAAATATTTTTTGTCTGACTTCTTTCACTTAGCAAAATGCTTTTAAGGTTCATCCATGTTGTACTATGTATCAGTACGCCATTCCTGTTTATGGCTGAATAATATTCTCTTGTGTAGATAGAGCCACATTTTGATTATCCATTCATCATTGGATGGCCATTTTGGTTGTTTCCACTTTTGAGCTCTTATGCATAATGCTGCTATGAACATTCATGTACAAGTTTTTGTGTGAACATATGTTTTCATTTCTCTTGGGTGTATACTTGAGACTAGAATTACTGGGTCAAGTGGTAACTCTATGTTTAAATTTTTGAATGACTGCCAAACTGTTTTCCAAAGAGGCCACACCACTTTATACCC